GTGAAAATATTATGTTTACAAACATTATAAACATTGCATGCTTTATCAGACATAAAATGAATGCCAGAATTCAAAACAAAAAACAGGCCCATGCTATCACACTTCCTTATCTTAATGGGGAGGCTGGCACCTTCCTAAAGGGTAGCAGCTGGTCTGGACTCCACTGGCAGACAAAAATAGCGTAGTGAAGTGACGTCTAGTGTTGGTGTATGTGTGTCCATGCATCATCATGTGTGCTTGAATGTCAGTATGGAAAAGATTAGATCAGTGGAGGGAGGGGCAGAAGTGTTTAGGTATTGTGATAGCAACACTGTGTGTGCTTTCAAATAATTACAATGATCTAATCTGCACATGTGCTCATTTGGCGCCAATTATTTTTCACAGTATTGTATGCCACTGTGCATCTGTGTACGTACAGTACAGTATGTGTGTGTGTGTGTGTGTGTGTGTGTGTGTGTGTTAGTAAGTGTGATTTCTGCCACTAACCTAGTTCCAAAAGGGCATACAGAAACGAAATACTGCAATACTCTCACACCCCTTTGTTATTCTTTTGCTGTATTCCTGTCCTGCACTCTTAGTCTCTGCCCCCAACCCCCCCACCCCCAACCATGTTGTTGTTTCCCTCCCCCTAATATTCCCTGCCTCCTTCTCTCCCTTTTATTCCCCACCACTCACTCCTTTCAATCATGTCTGTGCCCACAGGACAATTTCTTTCTTTCTCTCTCCTTTTTTTTACTCTCCCTCTCTTTCATTTTAACTCTCCATATATTTTCCTCCTCCCTAACATGCTGGCTCTCGATGTCTGTGTCCTCATGCTGATGCAGCATCTCTCTTTCCTTGTCTCTCCCTCTCATTCGATACTGAATGGAGATGGCATGATACAGATAGGGATGACTGATGGGCGTGCTCGGTAAGACAAAGGTGGACTGACGAGGGATAGGAAGACGGTGGGAGAAACTAAGCGAAAAGAAGGGAAAGCAAAAGGGAAGAGGACAAGAAAACAATTTGGGAGATGACTGGAAGCGGGGATAGTCGTATGTGAGCACAGACTTGTGTGAGAGAGGAGGCTTAACAGAGTAAGCTGGAAGGAAATATAGGCAAGGGTTTTACTGAGGAAGAGAGGAGGCAGGAGAAAGCAAACATAAGGCCTCTGTGGAATACTGTGAGTCTCGAGCCACGCCTCATTTCTTTATGGGAAATGGGTGCAGTGATTTATTGAAATTATGTACGAACATATATGGTCATACAGTAGACGACATATTTGGTATAACCACCTTTATATTGTATTGGCAGTGTGTTTGAGATATTTTCCCGGTGTAATTCCATTCATTTTGACAAGATCTGCAGCACTACTTGTTGGCATGTAGCTCCAAACCATGACAGAGCCTCCACCATGTAGTCGTAGTAGCTGTAGACACTGTTTTACCTCTTTATGGAAGTCCTCTCTAAATGTTAATGATTACTTGCAGCAAAACAATTGTCTCAATATGGCAATTTTTTTCACAGATTCTGTTAAAAACAATGTTATTGAAGATATATAGATGTGTGTGTGTGTGTGTGTGTGTGTGTGTGTGTGTGTGTGTGTGTGTGTGTGTGTGTGTGTGTGTGTAATTTGGCCTCACTTGTGGCCTCACTTACCTTTACTTGGCGAGACATCTTTGTCTGCAACCTACTGCTGTCCCTATTACAGTGTACATACACATACACATGCTGGATGTCAGTAAATCACAGCCCAGTTTATCTATTGCTTTTATTGCAATCAATAAAATATGAAATTTCTCTCTCTCTCTCTCTCTCTCTCTCTCTCTCTCTCTCTCTCTATATATATATATATATATATATATATATATATATATATATATATATATATATATATATTTATATATATATATATATAGTAATGTAAAGTGTTAAATTAACACTGTCCAAATACGTTAACAGATGGACAGGACTGATAACGTTTTCCTCCAACATTAGCGTTATTAATTTATATTTTGCCCTGGCCACTAGCCGCTGCCGTAATGATAACAGAAGACTAATGTGGCTAATAGATATAAAGGTTCAGGTTCTCTCTCTTTCCCCTTTTCACTCAGCTACATTCATGCACTGTCATGGATTAACACATTTACATGTGTATACATACATTTATATGCATAGCTGGGAGCAAGGAGGCTAATTGAACAGCGCCTTGGGTTTTCTGGTAATGTGTGAAAAGTGGTCAAGCACATGCACACGATCTCAGCACACATAGACACTCACATACATTAAACACATGATGAATGTTCTATAAATAGCTTCTTCGCCCTTTCTGTCTTTTCATTGTTCAGTTTTCCCCTCCCACCCCTGCCATGGGAATGGCTGCTCCCAAAGGAAGCATGAAAGTAGGAAAAAAAGGTGACGAAGAAAGGGAAGGAATAGATTTCGACCATGTGTTTTGTGTATATTTATACACAGTGTGATTTTTCTACTTTAGTTACTTCTTTTGGTCCTCTGATCACTTTTTTTCTTAGTCTGTTTACTTGATTCCTTTAAATGTAATAATTTATCCCATGATTTTAATGAGATAGAGGCACTAACTAGGGAAGACTCGGCCTGTGTGTGCATTTGTGTGTCTGGATGTGTGGGCGTGTTTGTGTGTTAGAGAAAAAAGAACGATTTAGATATATGTAATAAGGTACTCCCTCTCTCTCTCTCCCTATCTCTGGCTCAATTTCTGTACTAGCTGCCGGATGCTACATACTGAGAGCCAAATGGTGATGCCACAATAAGCCTCAGTCAGTGCCCAGGCATGTTATCATCAGTGATGGGAATAACGGCGTTACAAGTAACGGCGTTACTAACTAATCTAACTGATTACTATTTCTATAGTTACAACGCCGATACCGTTACTAACAAGAAAATGCAGTGCGGTCGCGTTACTATTTTTCAACAAACAGACGGCTGAAGCTGTGTTCAGCTTACTGCATCTTATATCAGTTGCATGGAAATAGCTGTAAGTAATCTGGGCGCTACAGCTTTAAGCAGCTGCGCGTGCTCCCGCGGGCGGCAATCACTTTCTGACCGACGATCACTTTTTGGTACAACAGCTGGAGCTAAGGGGGCAAAACAATCGCATGAGTGCTTCTGTTTGACTCAGGAACACTAAAGTAGTCGTGGTAAGCCAATCACATGACCACTTTAAGATGACAAAGCAACAAGGTGATATATACCAGTGTTTAAATTGTGTTGATAGGCCACGTAAAACCAGAGTCATGATAAACAATATATGCTGAGTTTTTTCCTCAATAGTTTCGTCACGTTTACTGTCTAAGGACAGCGCTAGCAAGCACTCTCTGCTTATGACCCCCAAAAAACAAACAAAAAAACGCCCTTTCGTGTTGGTGGAAAAATGTACCTTGTCGACCAATCAAAAAAAGGTATGGCAACGTGACTTTTGGTTGTTTAGGAAGAGGGGGAAGTTTTAGGAGTGACTAGGAGTGACAAGCGGCAAGAAAGAGAGAGAGAGAGAAAGAAAAAGAGAGAGAGCCAGCTTTGAGATGTGAGCGATTTGTGACATTTAGCATGTTTGGAGTGTGTAGTTAATGTGTTGTCTTGTGTAGTTAGTGTGTAGTGTTGTGGATAGTTTGGTGTTGTGTGTCAGAACAATGAGGCGACTGCTGTCTCCAGGTAAAAAACAAACAAACAGGAGTGATACACCTGCTGCTGTCAGGCCTGCAGGGATCAGGCTGTGATGTTCTCCTTTATAGTGGACAGAAATTATTTTTTTGGAGTGGCACAAATAATTTGTGTGGCATCTTATTGAATGCAGAACAGCTGATTGTTGTGTAAATAGTTTGAAATGGTAATAAAAACCATTTAAAGGTAAAAGGTAAATGGCTGCAAATAACTTGTTGTTTGTGAAACTTGTGCTTATGATTTTCAAATTGACAATTTAATTTGCATTTAAAGTTATGAAATATGATTCAATAAACAATAAACAAGTAATGTAATAGTTACTTTCCAAGTAATTAAATACTTTTAGTATCTTTTAACTCAGTTACTTTTTTGAAGAAGTAATTAGGAACTATAATTAATTACTTTTTCAAAGTAACTTGCCCAGCACTGGTTATCACACACTTACACAAAAAGACACAGGCTATATTAAAGTGTATCTTTGTTTTGCTTGTCCGTGTGGGTGGTGTGTTATCAGAAAATATACTTAGCAGAACATATTTAACTGACTCATAATGATGGCTTGTGGGTGTGTGTGTGTATTTGTGTGGGTAAATAGTGGCAGAGAGAAGCCAGACTGTGGTCCATTTGAGATAGAGTTGCTATATTTTCTTTTCACACTTGCTTACACTCAGTGAATTCAAACTGCATATATATTTGACCTTCCTTTTGACCTTTCATGTTAGGGTAGGGATGTTTTCTATATTATCCCTTAATTTGCCCTGACGTTTTTAGCAGGCCAGGTAAATTAGCTCAGTACGTTATAAGTGAATCTGTCCAACAAGGCAGTGCTGCAATTTTTTACTTTTCTGTTGGTGCTGCTCTGTTCTTGCCACAATGGCAAGATGATAATAGCAACTCCTGACCTAGTATGTGTAAATTTGCACATTATTTGTAACACTTTTAAATAACTATCCAACTATCCAACTGTGCTCTGTTGGATTAAGGCAGTGGTTCCCAAACTTTTTTTTGCTAGGCCCCCCTTTGTTTTACAAGAAAAATACCACGCCCCCCTGCAAGGGGGGCAGACCCCACACTTTGGGAACCTCTGGATTAAGGTGTGGTGACTATGGAGTACGTATGAACTGATTGTCTTGTTCAAGCAACCAGTTTGAGTTGATCTGAGCTTTTATCTTGTTTAAATGATGCTCACTTGGGCATTTCAGTAAGGGCTTCAGCTGCATCACTCCCGTGTGACAGGGTGATGAGATATTTGTGTTAACAAGCAATTAATGTGGTGGTTTGTGGTTCAATTAAAAAAGATTTGTTCCTTCACTGAACTTCCTCACTCCATTTGAGTGGATGATTCTAGCCACCATCATTGCCAACTGCATTGTCTTGGCTCTGGAACAACATTTGCCTGATGGGGACAAGACGCCGCTCTCAGAACGCCTGGTAAGCTGAATAACCAAGACAAAATTGCATGTGTTATACATGTACATGCAATTAAATTCAGGTGATAGTTGTATATTTGTGAGATAATTTTTTATTTTATTTTTTAAAATTTATTTGGCACATGAGACTATTTGCAAAAATACTTCTGAAACTCATTCGCCAACTGCCAGCTAACTTACTTTGTCTTTCTGTGCCTTTCAAACCATCATAACCTTTCCTGCTTTTCCTCTCTCCTGTCTTTCCACTCCTCCTTTGCTTGTTTTCTCTTGTGCTCCCCAGGATGATACAGAGCCGTATTTCATAGGAATCTTCTGTTTTGAGTCGGGAATAAAGATCCTGGCGCTTGGTTTTGCCTTCCACAAGAACTCTTACCTGAGAAACGGATGGAACGTGATGGACTTTGTCGTAGTGCTCACAGGGTGAGTATTAAGCAAATGTATATGAGCCAAGCACAGACACATACATACATAATACAGTATGTAACCTTTAGTCAGATCTAAATGTGTGCCTGACTAAACTCAAACATAACAAAGGATTTTCCAACAGCATGTCAAAATCTGTCATGTGTTTTAGTATGTTTGTATGCATGTATGTGTGCAAGTGTCCTTTTCCTGCTCCTTTGACCTAATGAAAGGCCCCATTCTGGGCAAGGCAGCAGTCAGATCACAGAGCAGAACTGCAGGCAGCCAGCAGCCTGGGTAGTGAACAAATGTCACCACAATATAGACAGCGACAGAAGGGGTGGGGAGCACAGGGGGAAGCAGCACTAGAGAGAAGGCAAGAAAAAATGCAGGTGCCGCTACCTCAATAGAAAGAGAGACACAGTAGGAATGAATGGAAAGAGACAATGTAAGAAAGGGGAATGAGTAAATGAGATATTTGATTTGAACATTCAACGAGAAGGTGAAGACGAGGGCAAAGGGAAGCGATGGAATGCAACCTGAAACCTGTCACAGAAACGGTGTCAACAAGGCCGAGTTCAGACATGATGGGATTAAAATGATGGATTTACTATTGCCTTCACTTATTAGATTATATCTCACATGAAAAGACCAGAGACATCAGATAATAGGTTTGATTGACAGAAATGAAAGACAGAGAAGAGAAGCGGATGATGGCGTCTACACATATTCAAATGGGTTTACATTTTACATTCTTGCTCATTTGTCTGTGCTAGATTCTGTTTTCCCGACGCATCCATCTGTTAATCCATCATTTAAGCTGACTGTCAAATGTCATTCCTGCTATCCTTCGTGTTTCTTTAAAGACACAGTAAGCCTCTTTTATGTATCTACCACTGCTACACACCTGTGTGACGCTGCAGGCTGATGTGACACAGATGAATGCGATGCATGAGTGATGCATTTACAAACGACAGTGTTTGCATGTCTCACTGTTGATGTTCAACTGAAGCGCAAATTACCTGCAAAACATAAAAACTGCAAGAAAGCTAAAAAAAAAAAAAAAGTAAACTGGTTGATAATTTATTTTTGAAATCTATTTAAAAGTTGTTTCTTAACAACTTTGCAAATTCTAGCAGCAATACAATCATGTCGCTGTTTGGGAGTGGTGGCACAGATTATCATGTTGAGGGGATTATGTCCACTTGTGTGTGCATGGGGTGAATGGTGGGGACTTCATGGGGTAGACGAAGCAACCGGTGAATCCAGTGATTGCTCCTTTCTGCCCAAATGTCTCTGTCTTGCACAAGGACACCACACATGCACTGAGCAGACACCCAGTGCAGCAGTATGTCCTTATGCTTTAATAAGAGCAATCACGAAGACAAGTTCCTCTCAGCATGGTGCGATAGAGCGACTGAAACAGAGAAGAGAGGTGAGAAGACAAGTGTCAGCATGACAGCAGGAAGTAGTGAAATGCCGAGAGGATAAGGAGGTACAACAGAAGGAAACAAGAATGTCCTTAAAGCTGATCTTTGATTTCTTTTGCCAATTTTTTCTATTTTACCACTCGATCTGTTGGTAGATTATTCTCAAGTGAATTGTCATTGGGGGAAGACAAGATTAGAAAGGAGTGTATCAGGGGATAGCTCAGGTTGAGCAGTTTGAAGAGAAAGTTAGAGAGGTAAATCTGGACATGTGCAGTGGAGGGATCGTGGATATACCAGACAAAGGATGTTGACAATAAAGATGCCAGGCAGGAGGAAAAGAGGAATATCAGAGGAAGACTTATGCAGACGGTTGGTGTAAGAGAAAAGGATGCAAGGGTTAGGATGAGATGGAAGCAGATGATCTACTATGCTGACCCTCTAAAGGGAGCGGCCAAAAGAAGAAGTGTTATCTGATGACCTCAGGGCAATCACTGTTAAATGGCACACATTGGGAAAAAAAAGCTAGATTTGTTTGAATGGATTATGTATGCACTATTTTATCAGCATATATTAGCCTTGTTGACTACCCTTTCTAAACATAATGGCCTTCATTAATGACATCTATTTTATCCAAGTGGTTTTGTGGCCCTATTTGGAATTTAGTGTCATAAACATGTAGGATTTTATTCAACAATAGCTTGACAAAGAGTTGCAAGACTTCAAGATGGTTATTTATTTGCAATGATTTTTTTGTTGACTTCTCAGAAAAGGGGTCAATAAATAACAGCAACAACAAAACAAACAAATAAAAAAAACATCAGCATTAACGAGTGGAGTTTCACAGCGAGTCCATCACTAACAGATGACTGACAAGTGCATCATAAGCAGTCTTGTTCTAGACCTGACAAATCACCCATGAAAATCCAATGGCAATGATGCTGTGCTGAGTGTCTGATACATTATGAGCTACTGTTTTGCAGGTTCAGGTGTGAAGTTAGGGCAACACAGGGGTCAGCACTGTCACCTTACAACAATAATGATTTGATACAAAGGTGGTGGTTTTGTCGAAGCCTTTCTGAGTGCAGTTTGCACTTTTTTCTTGTGTCTGTGCAGGTTTTCTTTGCATACTCTGGGCTGTAGCTGTGGATTTAATTAAAAATGGTGAAAACCTTGTCATTGATTGACAGCTCTGCTTCTCCCCAGTGTCATCTGGGTGTCACCAGCTCCACCCCATCTGCTGCTAAGTAAATTGATGGATGGGTGGATGGATGGATGGAGGCGTGAAATGATCAGATTCAGGGATTATTTCTCGAAGAAACAACCACATTGGTGTATAGCCTAAACAGCAGCCATCACGCTGTAACCCTCCCTGTCAACCAGCTGTGGTATATAGCAATATTTACCGAGCAGCACATAGTGTACACACATAGTAGATTCCCATGATGCATTGAGGACGCTGCCTGCAGTCAATACATTTTGCACACATGTGGCGCACTCGTTCTTTGTTGTGCTTTCTATGAATGGCCAGTGTGTTTTTAGCAGTCCAGCTCTTTGAAGATGAAAGGCTACTTGGCCTTTCTATCAACCTTTGGTGGAAACCTTTGATAACACAGTGACCACATGGGCGCGCGCACACACACACGGCCAGACATTTCCACTTCAAACATTCTTTTCCATGTCCTGCTCGCCCTCCCTGCACTTGCTGGCGCTCTCTTCAAACACATACAAAGACAAACACACAAATAGCACTTAACATGTCTGAATACATCACCGAGATTAGCTATTTACTCTACGGTCTTGTTCCAAGTCGTCTCATTTGTGGGTGTTGACCTGTGTGTTGTAGTTAATTGTCAGAGTGGCTTGACAGTGAAAATAAGCTGGTTGGATTTGTTTGTTTCTTTGTTTGTTTTTCTACACCCACTATTGATTATTAGCCTAGTTACATTTAATTTACAGCTGTTCTTGCATTGCATCCTCTTCTTTCTTTTGCTTTCCTGTACCCGTGTTAGGACTTTTTGATTAGATTCAACAGCTAAAAAGAAGCATAAAAAATGAATGAAGCTAGAACTACTATTTCAGTCATTTGTAATAGATGTTATGGTTCTTTCGTAAATGTCAAGAATTCATAGCCTCCTCCCTGCAACTCTTCCATAGACTCCAATATTATAAATGCTCCCAAAATTCGTCTGAAAATCAGAAGTACAGGCTGTCTTTACACTGTCACCACATCCATATAATAAACTCCACAGGCATGAAAACTGAGAATTTTTTAGACTGGACATTGCTGGCACTTACGGTGAAAGAATTTTGTCAATACGACTTGTAGTTTTTTCTTGGGAAGCATTTGTTTCGGGGTCACTTTCTGTTTATTTAAAGCAGCAGACGAGAGGCACGTGTCTGTGTGTGTGTGGTGCCACTGGGTGCAGTCTCTATAGCAACCAGGCTCACACCTGTCTGCTTAACGAGCTCTGTCTGCCACTCTGCCAAGATTCATCTTAAACACTTCTCTTTCAACTGCTGCTGTGGTCCACAGTGTTTGCTCTACAGCCATCATTTGACCCTTAAGACGTAGCCATCGTTGTTCTCTTTCCAACAGTGTGTCTTTCAAAGCTCAGAGATGTAAACATTTTGAACTGTGTGAATCCAAGTAGATGGATAACATTCTAACCAACCCATATAAATACACTGTATTTTTAGTCAGGAGTTTGTCTCAACAGCAGGAAAGACCCCACTTGTTAAATCTTTCCTGTCATCGCATTTTGACAACAGGAACATAAAGAACACACTGTTGTGTAGAACAATTCCTTGGGATCATTGCAGTTCAAAACTGATTTTGACAGGACTTAGGGTCTTCGATTTAGAAGCAGTTTTTCAGATTTGACAGGGTTTTGCACACTGTAATAAGCATATCAGTAGTCAACTGGATTGAGCAATCTGGTTGTCCCATTAAATTCAAGCTTATTGTTCATTGGTGGATTTGTCTTCTACACACAGGTGGTTCAGATCTGGGCATTTGAAGTCAGATGATGACTTTTAGAATCATCTTTTCTGACTGGACGATCAAAACTTACAGGATTTACCTATCTTTAGTGGACTTTCCCACATTTTAATCATTCAGTGATTTAAATAATATGAGGTTTCATTATTCATTCAGATGTTTTATGACTCTGAATTTTCTTTTGTCATAACTCAGGTTTTCCTAATTTACATTTTAATCATGTTAAGCTATTTTTCAACTTTTTATGTGTGAACGTCAGCTTTCAACAGTTCTGCACTTTTGTTTTCAGGTGAAAAATTCTGTATTTTTCAGCTCATTCAACATTTTTAACTTAACATTCAGCAATTATTTCATTTCAGCTCAAAACATTCAGCCATCAACATCCACACTGCAGTTTCTTCAGAAAATGCATTTTCTAGTTTTCATTGTGAGCTTCCTGAGCATAATTGTGTAATACTCCACACAGAAGGGACCGAGCTGGCCAGAAACCTCCATGCTCTAAGGTGACTGTGCTACCCACTGCAAAACTGCACCATCCCTAAGGAGTATGCCTTCCTGTTTAAAATGTGTTTTGAAGTTATTGCAATTTCCTGCAGCTTTAACATTCAGATAATTAAATACTGTCTAGGGCGGTCTAGAGGTACTACCTCCCCATTTAAAAAAAAAAAAGTGTCTAGAATTGTGCTTACCAGACTAATGCAAAGCTGTATGTGATGCTTTATTCCCACAGTTTACAATTTATTAAAGGGAATTTCATTATAAAAGAAGAAATGAATGCAATGAAAATGTATGTGCAGTCTAAGCAGAACTGTCAAAATCTGCTCAAATGTCCCTCTCCACTGTCACTGCCACCAGCTCTTTGAGGAACGAGGGGCATACCAATGTGCTTCCAAGCCAGTTGAGAAAAATGTTCTTTCCCGTGTGTCTTGGGTCTACCCTGGGGTCTTTTCCCTGTTGAACATGCCCAGAATAACTCACCTAAGAGGCATCTAAGAGGCATTCTATTCAAATGCTAAACCCACCACAACTGGCTCCTTTCTTGTGTAGGACAGTGCTGTACTTTAAGCCCCTTTTGAGTGACTGCGCTACTCACCCTATCTCTGAGGATCAAGCATTTTGTGTGTATCTGCAATCCTTTTCTCCACATTGCCATAGGTGAGAATAGAAACCCAGATCAGCCAGTAAATTATCAGCTTGGTCTGGCTTTGGTCTCTTTTCCCTACAATGGATCCACCTGCAGGAGGAGACGTGGGCTCTTGTGAATTCTGGGAGAAATTCTGAGTGTCAGCTGATCGTCGAGGTCTGATTGCTGGCTCAAGAGACACTTAATATTTTATTGATGTTATAAAAACATTAAAGAGCATACTGGTGCATTTAATGCAAAATATTTGAATCATAGTCACAGATGCAACCAAGGAGACAAGGACAGATAACAGAAGAGCTTGGAGCAGAGATGGTGAGATTCAGTCAGTGATGTGGACAGAGATATTTAGCTGGATTTTAGCTGAAGTCAGCAGGAAGCTGCAGAGGGAGATAGCAGGGATAAATGTTGTTTGTATAATGCGTTGGTTTCTCATCAGAAGTGGAGAGATGAGGTTTTTGTTATAGCGATGTTGCTTCATCTGATTCCCCTTAACCATTTGCTCTCCTTTTACTTAAATGCAGGTGTGTGTGCATTCTGTGTGTGAATTTAAAGATGTACAGTAGAGAGCATCTGTTCCTGGCAGGGAAGAAATTGTTTTCCATTGATTATTCCAAATGACCCAGTTTCCATTGTGCACACTTGAATAAAATTATTTTCTCTCAGTATGTTTAAGCTTCAACCAACACCCATTTGCTGTGCAGATGCGTGCATCCGTGTGCACGGGTGTTTTTGCATGTATCGGTGTGCAAATGTGCAGCCCTGCATGTAAGCTGCAAAACTTTTACATTAAATAGAAAAGAAGACAAAAAAAACAAAACAAAACAAAAAAACAATCAATCTAGCTCCTCCCTTGGCCCTGTTACCAAGGTGATACAGAGATTCTATCAATGAGCCAAGGTCCCTGTTGCCATGGAAACACTTATGAATGAGAAAGGACCCGGTAACCGTGGAGACAGTGTGAATGAGGAACTGCCTCATCAGTTTGACACTATTTGTGATGGCAGATGAAATCACCGTCATGTTATTACCATCATCGTTGTTACTATCGCCATCACAGTCATCAACATCATCATAGTTCATTATCGTTATTGTCCAGTCATCAGCGTTGTTAATGTTTTTTACTGTAATCATAGTCACATCACAGAAATATATAAAATAATTGGATTTGTAATCACAGGTTGTTTTTTTGGCAAAGAGTTTCTGTACTGCGGTTCCAAAAATACTGACACAGGTATACGTGTTCATCTTTTATATGTAAATGTAGATGTGTTTCTTCATGTCAGCACACAGATGTTTTTGCAGCATGATATACAGGTTTTTCCTTCTATGAAATTTCACTATTCTCCTTTTTATATCAACACAGTTCAGTTTAGAGGGTAAATATTCCAACTGATCCACTGTTCTTTTTGCCCTTACATTTAAAATCAGTATAGCATCTATCTAACTCACTCTTTCCCCCCCAGTTGCACTTATGGTAAATGTTTTTTTTTCCCCTTGTGCAATACCTAGTGCAAATTTACCATCCTCGACTACATCATCTTCATCTTCCCTTCATGGCTATCCTAACTTGCATTAATGTAGCACTCTGTTGTTGCCAAGCATCTTTCAGGCTAATGTATCCTTGAGCAAAACACTAAATCTGTACTTCCTTTGTTGGTCATCTTGCGTAGCAGAGGGCAGCTCGGTTATTTCCTGGTAAAGCAGCGTTTTCAGCAATAAAACTCACTGTTTTTTTAAGCAGAAAGCATAGTAAAGCAAATTATTATTATCATTAGTAAGATGCCAAACTACAGTTATTTACTTGCATTGCTGAACAGAAAAATTTGTTGAACGTTAAACTTGATTAATTCCGGGCTTTCAGATGAGTCCAATGAGTGTTCTGATTAATTAAAAAAAAAAAAATATATATATATATATTAAAAAAAAAAAAAAAAAAAAAAAAAAAAAATATATATATATATATATATATATATATATATATATATATATATATAAACACCCAGCACGCCCTTGCGGGCGGTTTATCCTTCAAGCTCGGGTCCTCTACCAGAGGCCTGGGAGCTTGAGGGTCCTGCGCAGTATCTTAGCTGTTCCCAGGACTGCGCTCTTCTGGACAGAGATCTCCGATGTTATTCCCGGGATCTGCTGGAGCCACTCGCCTAGCTTGGGAGTCACCGCACCTAGTGCTCCGATTACCACGGGGACCACCGTTACCTTCACCCTCCACATCCTCTCGAGCTCTTCTCTGAGCCCTTGGTATTTCTCCAGCTTCTTGTGTTCCTTCTTCCTGATATTGCTGTCATTCGGAACCGCTACATCGATCACTACGGCCGTCTTCTTCTGTTTGTCTACCACGACTATGTCCAGTTGGTTAGCCACCACCATTTTGTCCGTCTGTATCTGGAAGTCCCACAGGATCTTAGCTCGGTCATTCTCCACCACCCTTGGGGGCATCTCCCATTTTGACCTCGGGACTTCCAGGTTATACTCGGCACAGATGTTCCTGTACACTATGCCGGCCACTTGGTTATGGCGTTCCATGTATGCCTTGCCTGCTAGCATCTTGCACCCTGCTGTTATGTGCTGGATTGTCTCTGGGGCATCTTTACACAGCCTGCACCTGGGGTCTTGCCTGGTGTGATAGACCCCAGCCTCTATGGATCTTGTACTCAGAGCTTGTTCTTGTGCTGCCATGATTAGTGCCTCTGTGCTGTCTTTCAGTCCAGCTTTGTCCAGCCACTGGTAGGATTTCTGGATATCAGCCACCTCCTCTATCTGCCGGTGGTACATACCGTGCAGGGGCCTGTCCTTCCATGATGGTTCCTCGTCTCCCTCCTCTTTCTTGGGTTTCTGCTGCCTGAGGTATTCACTGAGCACTCGGTCAGTTGGGGCCATCTTCCCAATGTATTCTTGGATGTATATATATATATATATATATATATATATATATATATATACTCTTTTTTTGCAATACCTAAATACAGTTTCTGCAACTTATAGGTTGAGTTCCCATTAATATAACACTGAGTATTATCTCTGTGATATCTGTTCTTTTAGAAATATCATGCAGCTGAAGTGCATTAACGCCTCCTACTAAACTAGGATCCTCTCAGTTACAGGTCAGCGTCTGATGAGGCATTTGATATCACACAATGTCATTACAAGGACCCCAGCCTATACACTCGTGATGAAGCACCAACCACTTGGGGGGTGGGCTTCCTGGTAATACAATACCACATTCAAAACCACAACCATGCATACCTTCAACCAAAAACCCGGAGTTGGTGTCAATTTTCCCTTCTATTCAAATGTGAAGGAATCAGGCAGACCTTAAACCTGTGATTAAGACTGCAATGTCACTAGGCCTCTTAGAGGAACACAGGCAGGTAGAAATGTGTCAGAGAGACTGGATGAAAGAGAGACAGAGGGAGAGAGATAGAGAAGTGGGAAGTTTGATGATTCACAGTGTGCGTCAGACGATGGGACTGACTACAAGTCTGGCGGCACGAGGGAACATTTTAATCCTCTACTTACCCATACACACACACACACACACACACACACTCTTGCTGTTTATGGCATTTATTTTGATGATGAGTGAATATATAGTTGCAGTAGCACACGCTAATATGTGTTTACTCAGAAGAGAAACATCAAACATGTAACAATAAATAAGCAAGTCATAATCTTTCTGTTTTTCACTCTCTTTTTATTTCCTTAATCCCGTTCCTTCCCTCTCCTCTCCATTTCCCCATCTTTCTCCTTTTTCGTTGTCTAGTCGCTCTCTCGTCTTGATACAAAAACACTTTCCATTCAGCCCATCCCTCTCTCACCCTGATACACTCCTCTGTCTTACTTCACTTGTCAGCCGTATCGATCAGTTCAGTTCTTACAGGATTTACATACAGAGCTCACCCAGTTGTTTGTAATGATCTGGCATGGGTTTGTGCATGTATGAGAAAATGGAGAAATGGAGAAACTGCGAGGTTGACAGACTTTGACAAGCTTGCTAGCTTAAATATTGATTCTCTGTGCTCATTTCGGTGCATTTGTCTTTTTCCCTTTAGAATTCTATCCACTGTGGGCTCACAATTCGACTTGCGGACACTCAGGGCTGTGCGAGTATTGAGGCCTCTCAAACTGGTGTCCGGTATTCCCAGTAAGTCGATATTCTTCATCTGAGAAAAATTTGAAAAAGGCTATCTTCACCTTTACCTTGAACCACATCTTTGTCGTTGCTTAACAATTGAGAAAGCGAACATTGTGCAGAACATCTTTAAATTTTATTTGGGGATCAAAATAGCATGGAGAAGCATTTTGTGTCAAGGTTTTATGCAGCTTCTGTGTTGCTCTGCATAATGCAACAACAAAAGTGGTACTTCTGTGCACACTCTGCTCATTTTTTAAATGTTATAGTGGCAGTAATGTTCCAGCACTACTGCCACAGCAGTGTTATTAATAGCCTGTTCTCCACTATGGGCTTGAACAGGCATACCAGGGCTTACTCATCATAAAAGTCACTTGGGTTTCTATGAAAAGCCAATTAGAGCATCACACCAGTAGGTGCTACAATATATATGTTTATGGTTTATTTCTATTTATTATAAGTTTAATGATTGGGTATAAATGTGTAATTAGGATATTCAAGTATTTCTTTACAGAAAGGTAGCATAACTGCAAACTAATTGAAATTAGTTTTAGGATAAAGAGAGCGGATAGATTAAACTGAAATGTATAAAATGATTCTTCATAAAATCTTAATACTTTATACCTGTGTGCTTTAGGCTTACAGGTGGTGCTCAAATCCATCATGAAGGCCATGATTCCTCTGCTGCAAATTGGCCTGCTGCTCTTCTTTGCCATCCTCATGTTCGCCATCATCGGCCTCGAGTTCTACATGGGCAAATTCCACAAAACCTGCTTCGACAACATAACAAGTAAAGGATTTTGTGTTTACACTTTGGCAATAATTCAGTCGGGATTAAATTGCTCCAAGTTTTCCTCAGAGAAGAGTGCACCTGTTCACGCTGAGGCAGACTTTAAATAGTTGCACTGCTAAAATTAGAACTTAAAATAGTACATTTTTGGTATACTGTGCAGTTTCTGCAGATGTAGCCTCATTCAACATCTGAAGTATTTGACGTTTTCTCAAGAGGGATTTAAAATTATTAAATACATTTGCGAGTACATGGAATTTGCTCATACTTGTTTTATCCCACTTTTACGCATGTTTAGAAGAGATCCGGGAAGAGTTTCCATGTGGGGTAGAGCTTCCATCTCGGCTGTGTCCAGAGGACACCGTTTGTAGAGAGTACTGGCTGGGACCAAACTACGGCATCACCCAGTTTGACAACATTCTGTTTGCTATTCTCACCGTTTTCCAGTGTATCACCATGGAGGGCTGGACTGACCTGCTCTACTATGTATGTCAAGCTGAACAGCATTTGCAACACTAGTACACATTCAGTGACCAACATTTTGGCCACACCAGTGCAACCAGGAAAGCAGAGGATGTCTATGTAAAGGTGTTAAATTTAGCAAGGCAAAAATAAAAGATTTAATAAAGAAGGTCTTGTTCAAGAGAAAAAAAAATGCTACAGCATGCTAAAATTCCACAAACCTGCTCTTATCATGTTTGCCTGTTAATTCATCTTAGAAAAAAAATACAGTATCAGTGTATTTTGCTATCTGGTGATCATGGGAAAAAAAATATTTCTGTCATATTTTGTGGCTGTTTTTTACGGATTAAACCTTCACATTAGCTAAAATATCTATAACAAAACAGCAAACAAAAAGATCTAATGAAGTGCACCTTAGGTTAGCTTTCATGCTTGTCAGACTTATTTTTAAACAAACTCCTGTTAACAAGCTGGAGTAAAATGTAAATTTTACTCCAGTTTGTTAACAGGAGTATTTTCACTCAAAGCCATTTGAGAGTGCGTTCTCTAATCAAGTACAAAAATTAGACTGTTAAAACCTTCAACAATTTCACCTGTGCAAACTGCTTATCTACCTATTAAATGAGTACTAACAATGCCATCACTCATGTCCAAGACTGAATTGTTCCCTGCTGTCAGGGGCAACGGTTGCTGTGGACACCAGAGGCAGATGAGGGTCTTTGATTGTTACTGTAGTCATCTGTTTTTCCCATCTCCTTTCCCTCTCCGTCCACCCAGTTCTTTTACCTTTCTTCCTCTGTCCTTTCCTTTCTCCCCTTATTCCTGCTTGTCTTCCTGCGTTCTGTCGATCTCCCTCTGTGTCTCTCTCCTTCTGTCCCTCCTTCCCGGTGCTGCTTTATATTTAAAAAGGCCTGTTCAGCCCAAGTTATTCTTGCAGCTGCTCGGGAGGGGAGCAATAAAAGTTTAATGGTAGAAAAAGGGTCTGCGGTACATTGGGTACACAGCGGCGATGCCGGCTTACATGCAGGAAGAAGGAAAGATGGAGGAGACTGGAAGGAAAAGGGAGGGAGGCTATGAGAAAGAGAGCTCGAAACAGAAAAGAAAAGCCCGGGTCTCAAGTTGGGATTGATAAAATCACTGTAAAGGTTGTTCAGTGACAGTGAGGAGATGGCTATGGAGAAAGGAATGAAGAAAAGGTTAAACTAGCATTGAGATAGATAAGGGAGTGATGAAAAGGCAGATGGAGGGCGTTCTTAAGGGGTTCCATAGGAGGAGGGGAGACAAAACAATAAGAACTGAATAAAGAATGATAATGAAAGAATGGTCTGTAAGGGAGGATGGTAGGGACCGAGAGCGAGAGAGCAAAGCATTTGTTATACATTATTTACTCTCTCGGAGCAGCTAAATAGAGTGGCAGATACGCATTTACTTACTGAGATGACTTAAAGCAAAATCATGTCATGCCTGCTTTTGTTTATGTTTCCATAAGTTGTAGACAGCAGTTTAAAGCACATTGTTTCCACTCTTTAATGACAACGTCAAAGAATAAGTCACTAGGATAGCAGTAGGTTATTTTTAATTAGGCTATATAAAGCATATTATATCTTTAACTTGGTGGTGGTGCATATATATGTACATGAACGTACCTCAATGTGACAAAGCAGGGAGGTAGAGAATGAATTTTGATGCCTTCAGCTTTCAGCAAATCAATATGTATATATAGCTACAGCTGCTCAGTTTTTCAGGTGTACCCACTTTGCTGATTTAAATGAATGAAAAATTCAACCTTTGATTCAAATTAACTGAAAAGTTCGTCTTATTAATATTAACCTTTGTTAAACTCACATTTATAAACCATTATCTAACATTAACTGGTTTCTTTTAATTCACTTTGTATCAAATACTCAAGTAAAGAGCAAAACATTGATTCCTGATTAATTATGTTTGTGTGTGTGTGTGCGCGCGCGTGTGTCCTCACGTGTGTTTCCAGAGCAACGATGCCTCAGGGAGTGCATGGAACTGGATGTACTTCATCCCCCTCATCATCATCGGCTCTTTCTTTATGCTCAACCTGGTGCTGGGTGTGTTGTCGGGGTAAGTTTATGTGCATGTGTAAATATATAAAAAGAAACAGTCCCAACGTGCTTTACAGAGGTCTCAGGTGATGATGTGATGTGCAGGGTATATACTTGTGTCATGTGTGTGTCTGCAGCGAGTTCGCCAAAGAGAGAGAGCGTGTGGAGAACAGGAGTGAGTTTCTGAAGCTCCGAAGACAGCAGCAGATTGAAAGGGAACTTAACGGTTACCTGGAGTGGATCTGTAAAGCTGGTATGTATGACTGAGTGCATGCCTGGCAACATTTGACCATATAAAAACACCTGACATGTATTACAGTGTAATACATGTCAGATGTCACAGCAAATTTCTGCTTAGATATTAACACTCAAACCACTGGAAATTCAGAAGACTTAATATATATTCAGCTGTAAGTTTGAAGACCAGCTTGTGTGATGCTGGAATGAAAGTAAACCATCACTTTTTCCCGGAACGTCAAAGTAAACACTTAAAAAATGAGGCCAAAAATCCCTTTTTGTGGATTTTATCATAAAAGCAGTCACAGTAAACATGAGTTATAATGTGACATTATCACAATCACTTGCACAACAGTTGTTATTCAGGGAAGAAGGATCCATATTACATTGTATTTTATAGTTATAGCTGAATACACACTGACACCTTAGCACTGACAAGTTTTGGTTTGTTCTTATTCAAAAGTTTCCCATTGCAGCTGCTCTATATGGTTGTGCTTTCTTTTTGCCATTTTTTTCAATGTCATTTACCTTTAACATAACACATATCCAGTAAAGCAGTGACACAAATTTAATGGAACTTATAACACATATTATATCTTGAATATCTTACAGATTACAGACCCTTGGATAGAGAGTTTTGTCCACCTCTCCGGCCTGGTAGCTATCTGTTGAAGGCAGGAAATGTGAGAGAAAATAAGAGTAAAAGAGGGTCAAATCGAATAAAGGGGCAGATAAAGGGGACAGAGCTTTGATCTTCCTGAAAAGACAAATTTTACATAAAAACACAGAAGCTAATAAAACAAAAGAGGGACTACTGAGTGAAACAGAGACTATGATTTAAAAAGATGTATGAAGATGTTGTGGAACTTACACATAAATGTATAATATATTCACATTTTTGCTTGTGTGTTTTGTAGAAGAGGTCATCTTGGCGGATGATGAGAATGAAAATGAATATGATGGTATCAATTTCCTTTTTCTTTTCGAATGTAACATATAAATATGCATAAATGAATAGCTGAACTGTTGTGTTGTGGGTAAATGTATAAATATATTTGTACTGTATAACAGGTTCTCGTAGGAGAGCCACAAAGAACCACAAAAGCAAAGCTGAGCTTCTAAATTCAGAGGAAGGGGAGGGAGACCTGGGAGTAGGTAAGATGTGTTGTGTTTCTCTCTCTCTGTCTGTCTACCACACACACACACACACAACAAAGCCATTTTACATCCCCTCAGAGAACACTGCATTTACTTGTTTTGTTTTTTTCTGCAAAAGCTCCCAAACCCTACACATTTCTACCACAGCTCTTAACCTAAACCTAACTCCATGATAATCTTGCTTTAAAACACACTTATTTCCCATTATGACTGTAAAAAGGAATTTATATCCCCACATTAAGAGTAGCACACAGGAGAAACAGACCCACAGTCAAAGGCAAATCGCAGGTACACAGAGATGCTATCTTATCTTGCATATCAGCATTACCTGACCCTCCTCTCCATCCCTCTCCCGCCCTTCCCTCTCCTTTCTCCCTCTCTGCTGCTCTGCACTCCTAATGTTACATTTTCACTGTCCCCGAGCCCCTCATCTTTTTTTCCCCTATCTTTAACTTGCCCTTGTCATCTCATTCCCGTTTCTCCGCTCAAACCATTTTTTCAGCACAGTCATTCTAGGCACTTCTCTAAGATTCTGAAAGCAAACTTTTTTTCTTCATTCTTTAGAGCAATAATGGACATGGTGCAACCTAGAAATTCAAAATTGATAAGGCAGCTTTGATCATGTGCTACCTTTAAGTGAATTATACATCAATTTGTTCTTAAAAAGCAGATTCAGTGCCGAAAGGTTGATTGAATTGTAGTGTTCCAGCAAATAGGAGGTCCATCGATATAGTTGACTCTACTTTAGTAACTGTCCACTATAAAAGAATAATGCATTCTTTTACTCTCCTAATAATTTACAGAAATAATGGGATGGGATCTTTTGCCTGTATTAAAAAAAAATACAGGCAAAAGATAGCATTAACATTTTAGTGCCAGTGATTGTGTCGCCTTTTTGGTCACTCATTGACTTCTTTTCATTTATGTCACAGTGCAGCTGTTGATACACGATGTGCCTCATTTATCCTTTTTGAATGGTAGGTTCACCGTTTGCTCGTGCCAGCTTGAAGAGCTCCAAGCTGGAGGGATCGACTTTCAAGCGGCGGGAGCGGCGGTTTCGCTTCTTTATCCGTCATGTTGTTAAGTCCCAGGGCTTCTACTGGACCGTGCTGTGTTTGGTGGGCCTCAACACGCTGTGTGTGGCTGTTGTGCACTACGACCAGCCTGAACCACTTTCAGATTTTCTATGTGAGTAGGAGGTGAATGCTTGCATACTTAGTGCAAGTATGGGCCGATTATCTCCGCAAATGCACAAATACTTTCATCACAGATTATTGGAAAAGGAGTGGGTGAGCAAATTCTTCATTAATGTGGCTAAATCCATGAAAGAGCTGACCCAGTCGTTTAACACAAGCGCATCCAAGCACACACAGTTTTCCTTTCATGCAGACTAAGTCTTTTTCAAAAATGGTTCTGGGACGAATACACACACAGAGACTCGCTCAGGTTTTCACCCTCATCTCTTTTTGTGTTCTTCCCTCTGTGCAGATTTTGCCGAATTCATCTTCCTGGGAATATTCTTGACAGAGATGTTTGTAAAACTGTACGGCCTGGGCAGACAGGCCTACCTCAACTCCTCCTTCAACTGCTTCGACTGCATTGTGAGCCCTTCTCAGTCCACACCCAATAAGAAAATAACACAATGTACAAACTCATAAGCGGGTCTATAGACGGACTTTACACCTGTGGGATGAAAACAATAGATGAAAAAAACCTCTGCTATAGACTTTACACAAACACAAATGTGCCATACTGCATGCTGATGTCTGTAGATTATTTGCTCAGTATGATAAATAACTATCTATAATTGCATATGCTTACATTTATATTAGGTGATATGTGGTAGCATATTTGAAGTCCTTTGGTCCATCATCCAACCGGGCACATCGTTTGGCATCAGTGTGCTACGAGCTCTCAGGTTATTGAGGATCTTCAAAGTCACCAAGTGAGTCACTTGTAATACAGTAATGATCATACATTAAAATAAAGGACATGGTATTATCATCATTTCCATGTGTCTGTTTCCCAGGTACTGGGCGTCTTTGCGTAACCTCGTCGTGTCTCTGCTCAATTCCATGAAGTCCATCATCAGCTTGCTCTTCCTGCTCTTCCTCTTCATAGTCGTCTTTGCGCTGCTGGGCATGCAGCTCTTCGGAGGACAGTCAGTGTCTCTCTCCTTCCCCTTTAACAGCCATGATTTAATTTTCTGCTAACCTATTGGTTTTTGCTAATTGCCAGTTGACCTAAGGCAGTTTTTCAGAGCGCTGGTTTTTCAGACAAACATTTGTTGTGCTTGCCTCTGGCTCTCTCAGTCGTTCTCTCTATGCTCACTGTTTTCTCAGCTCCTATTATATATATATATATTTTTTTCATTCTTTCACTGCTAGGTTTAATTTTGAAAGTGGCACCCCTCCAACCAACTTCGATACATTTCCCGCAGCAATAATGACGGTGTTCCAGGTAAGCAGAGGAGAGCGATGTACTGTAAAAGGAGAAAAGGGGAGGGAGAGGCTAGTGGAGGGAGAAAAAGCCGCAAAATCGAAGACAAAGCTGGATTAAAGCTAAACGCTGAAAGGACTAAAGAGGATTTGCGCACGAGGAAGTGATATAAAATGTAAAATGCTACTCTAGAACCCTTAAAGATTATTAGGTGGGAGCATAATTCTGCTAAAACATGTTCAAATATTTAAGTAGTGTGTAGAAAAGGGTGAGTCTGTTCTTTGATTATAGCATTTTGAGCAAATATGTGGATGTGAGAGTGCTCGTCATAGCATCGTCTGAATATTTGTGTATGTTTGCCAGATCCTGACCGGCGAGGACTGGAATATGGTGATGTATGATGGCATCAAATCTCAGGGTGGAGTCAACAAGGGCATGGCCTTCTCCGTCTTCTTCATTGTACTCACGCTTTTTGGCAACTGTATCCCTTGACAGTGACATTGCAGATAAGCCTACATGCATGCGCAGCTCTCAGATATTTAGAGTGGAGACATTTGTAGATGTATTTTACACATTTTTACTTTACTCACAGTAAAAAGTCATACAAAGGTTAAATGCAGATTTTTTTTACAGTTTTCTTTAGGACAGCCTCAAAGGTGGAATAGTTAGAATGCTTCTTTCTACCTATTGCTGTTTGCTGTTGTTTTGTAGTTGCTGTTACTCTGAATAGAAGTGCTACTTTTTTTCTTAGCCTGACTTCCTTTAATCTTTTTTTTTGGCATATCGACATTGAAGCAATTAGTCTTGCATTGAAACATCGAGACATTGCACAGAAACCATCCGACAAACAACCTGCATGATGGTCTGCCTGAGAAGCTCAATTCACTGCAGGGGCCAGGCGCTCTCCAACGGTCACTTGCAAGAGCTTCAGTCAGTGTTGTATTTACTGTTTTATTCACTGACAACCTGTTCTTTGGCACAGCTGACAAAAGATCAAAGTGAGAACGTGTAAGAAAAAGAACAATCTCTGAGAAATAGTCATGCTTCTTTTATTCATGCTGGACTGAGGGCAGAGTCAGCTCTTCATCTTCAGCTACAGAGTCATATTATGTACAATCTCAGTTCTTCAAAGGTTTTGAAGCAGTGGACAAACCCATATATAACATGGAAAACATATTAAATGTTAAAACTGGGACATTTTACTGCTTTATAAAAAAAATACTGGCTTGTTTTGAATTTGAAGGTGGCAACATGTCTCAAAAAAGTTGGGATGGGGCAACAAAAGGCTGGAAAAGCAAGTGGTCTAAAAAGAAACACCTCAAGGAGTTTGCACCCAGTTAGGTTCACTGGCAACAGGTCAGTAACATAATTGGGTGTAAAAAGAACATGTGAGAGAGAGAGAGTCTCTCAGAAATAAAGATGGGCAGAGGTTCACCAATCTGCAAAAACACTGTCAACAAATTGCAGAACAGTATTAGAAAACTTTTCCTGTAATAATGCAAAATTTTGAGTGCTTTGAATATCTGATCATATGCAGTGCATAATATCATGAAATACAGAATCCAGAGGAATCTCTGTGCACAAGGGACATGTTATGTAGCGCTGTGTGGAAACACAGGGAAGCACATAGCAGACAGGGATGATGTGACAACAAGCGGAGGAATACAGAGAACCTAAATGCACACAGGATCATGAGAGGAAGGGAAACAGCAGGGAGCACCGCTGGAATTAATACAGCCTAACAGGACAGGGAAGCAAAACCGAACACAGAGAACACAGGATGAGAGACTGTCAGAATAAGACAGGAAGTACGATAACACTTGACACTGGGAAGCAGACTAACTAAGGAGACAGAAAAGGAACACCGAACAGGAGAGGCATGGAAACAGAACCTAAAGACCAGATGTCAAAACTAAGACCAGAAACTACAAATATAACACAAATAAGAAAAACAACTAAAAGAACCAGAACCAGGAATATATACATTGAATCTTCGAATATTAAATAACCTGAAATGGATGCTCGCCTTCAGGTGGCACTGCATTGAAAACAGACAGAATTCTGTGATTCTGTCAATCATTGCATGGGCTTGGGAACACTTCTAGAAATCCCTTTCTTTGCCACGCAGGTTAAACCTCTGTCAGGCACAATCTAGATTGCTAGCATTTTGTCAGTAATTAAAATAGTATATTTTCTCAGGTTAAACATTTGATATTTTCTTTGATATACTGTGAATAAAATATGGGTTTTATTCGATTTTCAAACCACTGCATTCTGTTTTTATCTACATTTTGTACAACGTCCCAATTTTTCTGGAATTGGGATTATAATACCAAAGTGACTGTCAACACGGAGATGTCACTGTCATAATCCTAATTGAGATTCTGATAAATCCACTGTCCTGGCATATACTGATACAGACCTGTGTTGTCATCTGTAAGTCGAACCACACACTGTTAAGGGATCTGTATCAAGGATGATACTGTAGCAATAATGATACGCTGCAATCCAATACATCAACTTGCCAAGAGGTACATTATAATATAAGTGGCTTAGCCAATTATTTTATCTACATTTTGTATTCTCTTGCACAAACAATCTCCCAGATGCTGGATTGCTTTTAACTCTGTGTTCAGACACTCTGCTGAATGTGTTCTTGGCCATCGCTGTGGACAATCTGGCCAACGCACAGGAACTGACCAAGGTATAGTACAGTCTAATATGAGTGCAGTTTCTTACACTAACACATTAACCACGAGTTATCCTCCTCTAATCAATGAACTTCTTCTGCTTCCCTCATGTGAATTTTTCCTGCCTTTATCATATTTGGGTTTTGATTTATTTTCTAATCCACATTTGCAGGATGAACAGGAAGAAGAGGAAGCTGCCAATCAGAAGATTGCCCTGCAGAAAGCCAAGGAAGTGGCTGAAGTTAGCCCACTATCTGCTGCAAACCTCTCCATTGCAGCGTGAGTCTCTGTCTCTATTACTTTTGTGTCACCATCTGGGAGTCTAGTACTTATGTCGGACTCAGCACTTTGGGAAGTGGACGGTATAGCACAGTTGAGTGTTTGAAGTCAGGAAAACCGTCAGTGAACCATAATCTGTTCAAGTTTGGATTCTTAAAACATCACTTCATCACCTTATGAACGTGTGGTGATGTTGGTGATTGCAAATAGTCTTTCATCACAATGAGCTTTATTGACTAATTACCCTTCAAAAGTACACAGCCACACTTTTTTCTTAGAATTACAATATATTCATCGATCAAATAGCATCTTCCAAACTGACTTTTTTCTGTTTCAATATAAAATTTAAAGTTCATGAATGTAAAAATTCTCTGTATATTTTGCCATTTTGTCATCATAGTGGAATAAATCATGTCTTCATCTATCTGGCAAGGAAAGGAAATTGGGGATAGCCTAAACACACATATACTTGCTTCTCGTCCTTCTCTCTGTCATCTCTTTCTTCTCCTTTACTTTTCATCTTAGTCTTTGATCCCTTTTCTCTGTACACACAAGGCTCTGTACTTTCACATCTGGTAAAGTTCACACACTTTGTTCTCAGATACAAATACGTGCATGAAAATACGTTCAGCACAACACAGGAGTACCATGTTTGTTTTTAAATACCATACATAATAGCACAGTCGTGTCCTTAGCAGTTTGGTGTGTGAGACTGTGCTCACTCATTGTCACTCGCAGGTACAATGAACAAACATGCCCTAGAGTTTTAGCTCAATACACTCACACGTACATATGCTTATTAACATTTCCATCATTTTATGAATCGCTTAGGTTCTTGTTACTGTTTGTGCCGTGTAGTGTGCTTCACTATGAAGTGACCATCTGTGTCTGTGTAATCAGTTTAATTTACTTGGAATTATGATATAAATATGTCTTATTTTCACTACAGTTTATGTGTATCTGTCTGTATGTGTGTATGTGTGTGGATGTATGTGAGTGTGTGAGAAAAGAAGTTTTCAGGTAATGTCGGTTTGGTATAGTATCCAGCATTTCTTCTCTAGGTTACCATGGTTTTTTGTCCAAATTTATCCAGAAAAACAACCTTCACAAACCATGCTGCCTAATTGCTTGAATCTTTTGAAAGCAGACTGTAGGACAGAGGTTTACCATAGAGTCTCGGTTAAGCTTTAAGCATTGTAGGGCTGCAGATTGCCTTACGTTCTACTGTGCCTGTGTAAATCCAAATCCCTAATTTCTGTGGTGCAAATAAAAGAAAGAGAGAGATAGAGACAGAAAGACATTTAAATTCAAGAGGAGATCGTCCCTGTTTTCCCAAGGAGGGATTTTAAACTTGGGGACATCAGTGGTGCATGAAGAATCTCTTAAGAAGATATGGCAGACTCAGAGAAAACTACGTAAAACCAAGGCAACACAAGTCCAGTTTGTACTCTCAAAAGGAAATTGCTCTCTCTTAAACAGCCATGCATTCTAAACAGAGTGCAAAGACACTTTAGGAAGTATTATTCTAATGATAGTGAATAATTTTTTTTAAAAGTTTCAGCACTGTGTTTTTAATAAGCTTAAAGAAGCCTTTGGAAACAATAAAAATCATATTAAATTAGGTTGTCCTTATAGATTTGGTCCTTTAAATTATTAGCGTGCTATTTTGTGTTAGGAAGAGGATCATGCACAAATTCTGAATTCAGAAATAAATTCATGACCAAAATGTATCTACTTTTTTAAGTGCCCCTAACCCTCTTTAAGACAAAGCAGAGCATTTCATATTTAAAATGTTTATTTTTAAATCTTACTGTAAGCTTTTCAGGGTTTATCAGTTTTCAGTACAGGTAAAAAATATGCAGATATTACATGTTTTATTAAAATTTTAAAACATGTTGTCATAATGCCAGTGTATGTTGTCATGTAGGATATACCCACAGGACCATATTTTGGTAAGTATTTTTTTAATGTAGCAGCTTCAGTGGAAAAAGAGAGTGAAGGGTAAACATGTGCAGTACATTATAAAGAAGTAAAACTGATCAGCGCACAACAGCAGCACTTGGGAAGGGAAAATGAGTGATAGAAGAAAATGGATTTTGTTGAGTGTGTGTATGTGTCTTTTGTGTCTGTGTGTACGAAGGGTTGCATTCCAAAATGCTTAAATTTTTGACAAAAAATATTCTAAGATTCGCTTCCATTTTTGGATTTCAGGATTATAGTTTACTTTTTTAGTAGTTTAGACATGTAACACTTTTGTTGTGGATAGCGATAATTTTTTTTAGAGTTGGCACTTTGTGTTTTTTTTCCTTTCTTTTAAAAAAATAAATGGATAGCCCATTTTGGAATGAAATCCTCCTTCTGTTCTTTTGTGTCATCTCACTCACCAGCTGTTTCCCTCCTCAGCAACAAAGTACACAGTGAGTGTCACAACGCTTCTGACCCCTTTCTGGACTGGTATTTATTTATTTGTTTATTCATTTATGACTTCCTTCTGTTTATTGACTTTACAACCATTCCTTGCTTTTTTCATGTTTTAGATCTCTATCCTTTTCTTGGCCCTTTGTTCGTAACATCTGTTTTTTTCAAAATTATTGTACATATCTGGCTTATTTTTTTTTTTTTTTAGCTTTTTCTTTATGTTGGCTTATTTTTTAAAGTACTGTTTCTGTTGCCTACGGCTGTTGCTTTATTGTCATTGACTGTTGGCCCTGAGAGAAAAGTAAGTTAAAGTTGATAGAAATTTTGGAGGGTAAGAAAGGAGGTGGTCACTGACAGTTTGGGGGTGTTTTTTTATCTCATCTTTTTGCAAAAACAAGAAATCAGTTATTCTAACTAATATAAACCATTCAATTCAGCTCAATGGCTATTTTTGCTCTGCACAAAATCTGTCCATTAAATTGTATGTACTTTAGCATGGGATGATTAGTTGTGTATAATTTGAACAAATTCGGACCTCGCCTCAGTGTTATCCTCCACACTGTTTCCCACGTGGTTTACCAAAATAGGGCCATCCTGCCTTGTGCTTCGGCAAGCTGTGCAGATACCCAAAGCCCTGTTCTGTTAAGAGCTGCGTTGTTTTATAGGTCCAGTCAAATGACCCTTTAAGTGTCTGTGGCCCCCAGTGTGTCTTTATGTCCTTGCTATTTGATGTACTTATATTTTTAGTGTTGGTTTCCACTTCATCATTCTCATGTCTTTGTGCGTTCATTTGCATAGCATCAAGTCTTAAAGCAGGTCTTAACGAGGCCAATCCCTTTCTACCTTTTCCACCATTCTTCATTTTGCAGCAAGGAGCAGCAGAAGAACCACATTAAGGGAGTCAACAAGTCAGTGTGGGAGCAGCGCACCAAGGAGCTGAGGAAGCAGACTCTGGCATCCAGCCGCGAGGCCCTCTATAACGAATTGGACGCAGATGACCGCTGGAAGGCAAGGACAGGGAGGGAGGAGCACAACAATGTAAAGGAAAAGGCAAAAAGGGCCCCTAGACTTGTGCTATCAGTGTACACAAGTTATGGCCACGAGTGTTGATGATGACTTTTATTGGTTTTCATTTGTTCTTGTTAATCATTTATCGGTGGCTTATTTACCAACTATGGTCTAAATATTGGTTGGAAATTTCCAATATATAACTGAAATGTAGGTCTTCTAAAGTTTTGCCTCCTCTCATGAATTACAAAATTTGAAATTATTCCTTCTGTGCTGTTTCGCTATCCATTCGTTTCCTTGCAGGTCAACTATTCACGTCACATCCGTCCAGACATGAAGACCCATCTTGATCGACCCTTAGTGGTGGACCCCCATGAAAATCGTAATAACAACACAAACAAGACAACTGGCAACAACTCAGACTTCTGTGTCAGCCAGCACCATCCTGAGCACCATGGCCAAGTGGGAGGGGATGGTGGAGGAGGTTCAGGTCCACCCAGACCTCCCATGGAGCGGGGAGAATCCACGGAGAGTAGACGGAGCCGCAAAAGTGAGCATCACCACAGCTCTCATGTCCGTCTGGATGCTACAGTGATTCCTGGGCCGGGTTCAGAGGAGAGGGTATCCAGGCGCCATCACCACACGCGGACTGGGAGTCGAGGAGGAGGGCAGTCCGAACACAGGAAGCCAAGGTCACATCGAAAGAATGCTGAAGATGGTGAGGAAGGTGGGGGAGGAGCTGGAAAATCTGGAAGACATAAGAGCAAAGGAGTGGATGGGAGTAGGGAAGGAGGAGAGCATGAGCGAGCAGGCAATGGCGGTGAGAAGAGGTCAAGAAGAAGCCGGCGTGGAAGCCAAACAGAGGGCGAGGGGAAGCGTATGTGCTCACACAGAAGGAAGTATGTCATTCATTTTTCGTTTTCCAGTCATCCTTTTTACAATCTCCTCTAATCTGATGGCTGTAATTCTTTCTTTGACCTCTTCCTAGGGACTGCAGTGTCCCAAACCTATCTACCACACGGCCCATCCAAAAGAGTCTCTCAAGGCAGAATAGCCAGTACAGTGAGGACATGGACAACCTCATGAACACCAAACTGGTGTCTGGTTCTACACCACCTAGCGAGGGTCGCCCCTATCCAGTGGCCAGTCACACTGTCACCCCTGGATTTGGATCTGCCCTTCATCTTGCTAACAGTGGCACTCGTGGAAGTTTGGTCACGTTGGATAGTTATGGGAATGTCGGACATCACCGTGCAAACAGTGTGATCAGGCTGCCCCACCCTGATTATACTGCTGTGGACATGCCCATATTTCCATCCACCAATGCCATACTGCAAGGTAGGGGTGAATGGATGTGTTTTTCTTTTCTTTTGTATTTCTTCTGCTACTTTATAGCTCTTTACAATGTTTTCCTCCTACCTTCAGTTAATAAAAATGCCAACACTGAACCTCTGCCACCTCCTACAAATGATGATGAGGAAGGAGGGGAAGGAGGGCCTAGGCCCATGCCTCCATATAGCTCCATGTTCATCTTCTCGACCACCAATCCGTAAGTGATACGTACTAACAATTACCAATGCACAGGCTAGCACACGTAGTATATGCACAAATTGCAAACTGAAACACACTGTCTCATAATTACCAGTTAACCATATAAACCTTTGGCTAAATCCCTATCCTAATGAGGACACATCTTTCCTTAAGTGTGAACACAAAGTCAGCAACACAAAGCAAAGATGAAAACCAGCCCAAAGAGACTTGAAAGCATGAGAAACATAAACAGGTCAAAACAGAGGCTGCAAGCCTGACTGCTCATCACTGCTTTTGTTACTTGTTGAAGTTCAGGCTCTGGCTGCTGGGCTGGGGTCAACATGCACTCAGCTTTATCATCATTCTTGGCTAGCTTTGCGTTAGCATGCTGTCTGTGCAGATGTTTGCAAAGAGATGAAGCAGTATAATACTATAATGGATGCAGTTTCCATTTTACCTTCACGCTCTTGTCCTTTTGTGCAGTGAAAAAAAGTAATGTCCATATCTCCACTCCTCTAATGCTGTATAGCTGTTTTCTGTTGCCTACACTTTGCACAGTCAAAAGTCAGCTTTATTGTAGTTGACTTTTGATCCAAAAGTATGAGATAAAGTTGATTGTTGGTATAATATTTTGAGGGTAGGGAAGGATGTAGTTAGTGTCTAGACAGCTACTCTTGCCTCTTTAGTTAATTTGATGCAGTTTGGTGTGGATTTAGCAGTCTATTAAATTGTCTGTACCTTACAATGGTTTGCCCAATGGATGGAAAATGGAGGCATGAACCACATATCAGTTATCTGATCCTGATAGCTACACCAGAAACCAAGAAAAGACTGCCACTGCCCGGCCACTGACAAACTGATGGATTCCCAGATTGATATTTGGGTAAACCCTGCTTTACTTTAGCTTTTCTACTGTGGTCCCACAATTGCCCACAGTGCTGATGGAAAGATTGACTTGCCTGTCACTATCTCAAAAACTATTTCAAATGAAGCTCAATCATAATGTCATGCAAGGCTGGACTGGGACAAAAAATCGGCCCGGGCATTTTGACTAGAGACCGGCCCACCAGGATAAAGATTGAAAATGTGACGTCATTCAGGGGTAAAACCGCAAAGGATTCTGGGAACTTGTGGCAAGAGGTACTAGCGCACGCAGGCTTTCAATTGAACTCAGTTACACAGCGATAAAAAGAAACACAAAAAATGGCAAGAAGCTGTTGTATTATTAACTGCAACAGCCGGTCGCATGACAGCCACAGGAAGCCGATCGGTTTTTTTTTAATCGGATTACGTCGTTGAAGAGAAATGTTTTAAGCCATGTTTCCGAAGTAAGAGCCGACGGATGGTCTGGATATACCAAATATAACGTCCCAGAACACTCCAGCTCACAGGTTAGTCTGCTCCAAGCATTCCCACAAAGGTCAGTCTGCTGTTGTAGTTAATGCGTCATTTTCATAACATAATTGGTGATATAGGTTACAAGCAAGTCTGGCGCTGAACAGAAATTGTTGCGCTATGCTCCTTTATTTATTGTGCATAAATAGTGAATTGTCCTGACACGATATTGCGTTTCGCTTCTGTTATTATGGTACATTGAAAAAAACATATACGTTTATTCACAGGATAAAACAGTTTTTTTGTATCACTAATTGTCCAGTGCGATTACAGCATACAGTATTATTGTCACTGCTACATTTCTGTAATGAACCAGAAATTATTTCCACTGCTAATTAATTACCATTGAGCTCAAAGGTCCTATTAATAAACAGTTAACGAATGTGTATTTATGAAGACGATTTGTGAGACTGGTAAACTTACCTTTGTTCGTACGATGGTCTTTCGTTCTACACGGTGCATTTCAAGGTCCTGTACCCCTCCGTCAGTAAACTGTTCCTGGGCTTGTTGCAGTGACCTGAAGTTACTAAACTTCATGAGTGTATGCACTCACCCCAAGAACCGTGTAATTATAAATATGAGCGTGGTGAAAGTTGGGCAGCACGCTAACGTATTTTGTCCCTCTGTGTGCTCGTAAGGGTCTAACCCTTTCACTGGTTTGATTTTTCCTCGTATCTTTTCTTTGTCTTTTCGTCGAGTCTGTCTTTGTACGGACCGGCATTGTTCTCCTTCGTTTTGTACATTCCTTTTTTGTGCGGCAAAGAAAAAACAAGAAGGTATTGGAACCGGAGAATGAACGTTTTGCGGTGCTGCAAATGCTTGCATTTGATGCGGTACTTGGATTGTTTTGCCACGAGTTCCCGGCATGCAATGCGCGAAAATCACGTGATTGCTAAACAAGGGGGCGGGTGCATTCGGCCTCCTCGGCTGTAATTGGTCCAGCCCAGAGTCGATCATGACCAATTGGCCAATCCAACACCTTTCATTATATATACCCTTCCTAAAAAAAAAAAAAAAAAAAAAAATCCATCGGCCCATAAAAACAAAAAATCGCCCGATGGCCAGTCCAGCTATGATGTCATGTATTCTAGACTGTGCTGGCATAGCATGAAAAGAGGTCATTTGCTAAAATTTGTTGAAGACACAAAGCCTAATTTTAGCAAATGAGCAGGTCTAGTTTGTGTAAACATTAACACAGAGCTGTTTAAACATTAGTTGAGTATTTGAGAGGGATTTAAATTTTGTTTAGCCTCCACAATGGCCTTCATTATAGTTATAAATTAAACATAATGGTATGCATTGCATTAATGCAAGAGAAAAACAAATATCTTTGTCTGCTCCTAGGTTTCGACGAGCATGCCATTACATTTGCACCCTGCGTTATTTTGAGATGTGCATCCTGCTGGTCATTGCAATGAGCAGTATTGCCCTGGCAGCTGAAGACCCTGTTTGGCCCAATTCCCCTCGAAACGATGTAAGAAATTCATCATACATGTATTATTGGTTCTTTTGGCAACAAAAATATTATGCATATAATTTATCTATTAGTTTTTGTATTTACTCTCAAGGTTATTTTTGCCATCTCCCAAGCCTTACGTGCGTGGAGGTCTGAGCAGTAAATGAATTAACTACATAGAGTATGAGATAGAACATATAAATCCAGCACTTAAAATGATTATTGACAGTTTTATAGTGGGTAGACAATTAAGTGGCACACACAATATTCAGGATTTTCTGTGTTCAGACTCAGCAAAATGATACAAACTCACAGACCACACATGCACAGGAAACAGTTGAAGTTTAAAGTACTGCCTTCTTTAGTAATATAATATCAGATGATGCAAAATAAGTGCAACACTGCACTTATCTAAAATACAAAATCATCATATGCTCACTTTTTCTTTGTGCAGGTTCTGCGCTATTTTGACTACGTCTTTACAGGAGTTTTTACTTTTGAGATGTTAGTAAAGGTGAGACAAATCAGCATTTTTCCTCCGTGTTGAGACAAACATTCTCCTCTTTTTGATAAAGGCTGTAATGGGTCCTTGTTTTTGGTCTCTTTTCTAGATGGTGGATCTGGGGTTGGTCTTGCACCAGGGCTCTTATTTCCGGGACTTGTGGAACATCCTTGACTTTATAGTGGTTAGTGGTGCTCTGGTGGCCTACGCCTACGCCTTAGCGTAAGTCTCCCTCCTGCTTCCCCCTCTGCTCTCTTTTCTCCTCTCCTGCTCCTCTCCCCTCTCACTGATACCTTGGAGTACAGCGTCCCCTGTTCTTCTTCACTCAACCATGGCTGATTTTTGGCCTCTACTTTCTCTATCCTACACACTTTTCTTTCATTCACTCGCATACATTTTCTCTCTTGGCACTTTTTCATTCTCTTGTGTCCTGTTATCCTCCACCATAAACCCAAGTCTTACCTTTATTTAGAGTGCAAAAGACCTGTCCTCTTTTTTTGGCCATGTCCTTACTTCATTTCTCTTACGTTCACATTTTGCTCCTGCAGTCCTTTAATTTTTAAGCTCCTCCTATTTCAAGCTCCTTCCAGCTTCTGCGTAAACACTCCCACATTATAAAATAGATCCCAGCATCCTCTCCCTATCTACCTCCCCATGTGAGAGGTGAGGACCACCCTTTGCACCTGTAACCCTTTAGTGCCCAGGGCGTTCTAAAGTAAAAGGGCCCATGCAAACCCCGGCCAGGTCACCAAAATTCTCAACTACGTTCTCTACTACAAAGCAGGTACTTTAATCTTTACTTGATTTGCATGGCTGTAAAGATAAAAATACAACTACATGTTGATTACTGAGTTAGGCTGTAGATAATAAGTGCTATGCTGGTACAAAGCATGAATTTTGCTTTTGCATGGTATGTGAGAATATAAAGCAATTTATAGATTTAGAAGTCTGCATTAATGTGATGTCATGTTTTGGATATAATATATACACATATATGTAGATATTAGGGGTGCAACGATACACAAAATTCACAGTTCGGTTCGGGTCGATGCTTTGGTGTCACGGTTCGATATTTTTTTCGATACAAAAAAATGTTCATGCCTTTTTAATTTGTCATTTATTAAAATTATAAATATATATTTATATCGCCTCTTTCAGTGCGCCCCAGGGTGGCTGTGGCTACAATGTAGCTTGCCATCACCAGTGTGTGAATATGTGTGTGAATGGGTGGATGACTGGATATGTAGACTAGTAAAGCGCTATATAAATACAGGCCATTTACCATTTACCATATTTTAACTCAAAAGTACAGTTTTTAAATTTAATGTTGCTGAAACAACAAAATAATAATAATAATAAATCTATCTGATCGAGAAATCACTCATCTTTGGAAAAGAGAGTTTATAACAGAGAAATGGCTCTTTTCAAAATAAAAGCTATACTATACGCTTCTTCTGGGCTATATTCTCAGCAGCATATTAAACATATCAGGTCCCCATAAGGAGAATCATGTGCTCTGTCTAAATGATCCGGGTAAAGTTTGTAGCATGCGTGCTTGTTGTTTTTGTCTGCTTCCACTTGTCTTTGCACTAGGATGATGTCGGCGTAAATGTGCAGTCATATTTGTTGTGTTCCCACTAGTGCTGTCAGCGTTAATCTCGTTAAAATGACATTAACGCCATAACGCGGCAAATCTCCGTTAACAAGTTACCATGGATCGCCCCGTGCGTGGGGCTGGATGGCGTTAACACGTTAACAAGCTAACTGTGCTAACGCACTAGTTCCCACAAATTGAGCATTGCGTGGCACATCCGACATACTGTTTTACTTTTGTCCATGACGCGCTTACCATCAGGGTCATGCTTCACATGAAAACCAAGATAGTACCAAACGCCAGCTCTGAATGAGGGTGGGGGAGGTTCAATTTCGGGTAGCGTTAAGGCAGTTGCCATGTTGCAACGAGCTTAGCTTCTGTCTTGCTAGCTCGCGGTGCGCTCAGTGGATTTGCACTCGACAGTGCAGCCTAGGCGGAGTAGTCGAACGCACATCCACTGAGCGCTCAACACAGACAGCATGGTCAGAAGAAAAGTTGATAAAATAAATAAAAAAATTTGTATTGTTCGATACATATGCATACCGAACCGAAAGCACTGTATCGAACGGTTCAATATCGATACGAGTATTGTTGCACCCCTAGTAGATATGTTTCCGCATAATATATTTGTGCTCTCAAATTAATGATAATGATATACCATAGATTTTTACACAGGTCTGCAATATGTGAAGACACTGGATATTGTTTTTACTGTGGAAGTGACTGAAAGCAAACCTACATAGCTTAAACTGCTATGAGCTTTTGGACACTTGGATTATAAGGCACCTAGCATTCTTCTGTGTTGGGTCATTGAAGTTGGTGGACTTGGAGCCTCTTGGATGGAGGATGCTCTGCTCATTTTAACTTAAACACCAGTAACATACACTTATGGACAAAAGTTTTGGGCTTCACACTCTTTTAACTACAGCTTTTGCCACAGATCAGGCACCTAGCCATACAGACTGCCTTTACAAACATTTGTTGTTCTAAAGAGTTCAGTGAATTTAAGCATGGTGATAATATAAGACACCATACCTACAACAAGTCAGTTCATGAACTTTCTTCCCTTTTAAATATTCCACAGTCAACCTTAACTGGTATTATTGCAAAATGGACCACAACCACAATATGGCAGACCTTACAAAAGTTACAAAGCAGGGTTAGGCAGGTACACAGTGTAGAAAAGTCACCAACACACTGCTGCAGAGTTCCCAACCTCCTCTGAATTTAACAACAACACAAAAACTATGAATTAGGAGCTTCATAGTATGGGTTTCCAGGCTGAGCAGCTCCTGTAAGTGTAAATAGGTGATACAGTACAGAATTTGTATTAATCCGAATATATTTGACAGTTTTATTTAAACTGAACTGAAATGAGAAACTTTCAGAGACTCTGTGAGTGTGTTCTGTATCTAACCACTTGAGGTCTTCGATTAATATACTGCAAATTAATATGGGAATAGCTAAGTGATACAAATAAATTAATACATTTTGAACTTTTGACTTTATACCTCTCTGACCTGTCTTCCCCATGTGATGTTTGTGTAATGTATGTATGGTCAGAAGGGTAAGTCGGCGCTGGCAAAGGTCGGTAGCCTTAACCCAATTTCCTTCGGGGTCAACCTTCAGGATCAATAAAGTTTTATTGAATTGAATTGAATAAAACTGACACTTGAGTAATGACTTGAACTAAAGATGACACCTTGGATTTTCATAGTCCCAGAATGATATCTTGTGACGTTGTCCCCTCAGATCTCCTCAAACAGTTGGGGTTTTTTTGCGGTCCTAATGACCCATCTTTTATGCCACCTTTACTGAACTGCTCCTCCTCTGCACTTTGTGTCCATTCTTCCACCTCTTTTTATCATACATCACGACGACACTCAAAATGTACTTAGTTTTCTCATCATTCTGGTCTCGGAAAAGTCTGTGAAACAGTGCACTTTCACGGGTATTTCTCCAGATATACCGAAGAAAATATTCTGCACGCTTAAATGAAGAAATAGGCTTTTTTTGTCATTCAGTAATTTGTTTACTGAAATTAATGAGAGTCTCTGGAACTATGGCAAAAATGTTAGAAATTTTGGCACGGTCACTGGGAATAGTCGTGAATTATTTCACCAAGATTCAGGTCTGTGCCTTCAGCAGTCTATCCCCACCAGTGGGTAAGAGTTAAACCCAACAAGTTACCAATAATCTCAACTAATAAAAACCTTCCAGCTTTCAAATGCAGTTATGCTAAAATAGTTTTGGTTTAATCTAACATAAACTAGGTTGTCCAGCTTATCTGCTCACTTTATAACTATGCCGTAGTACATTGTTAAAGTCCAGCTGAATTAAGAACTCATGAACATGGCAGGTGCTCCACGGTTCTGGTAGAGGTGATCCATTGTCAAGACGTTCACTCTTTGTGAATCATCTTTATATGTGTGTGTGTTTTAACCAACACTCTTTCCCCTCATTTTAGTTGAATTTGTGTCTCTCTGTTTGTATATACAGAGATCTTTGTCTCCACCTTTTCTGTGTGTCCCAACCTCTTTCTGTTTCACTGCTGAATTTTCTTTCTCTGTGTATCTTCTCTGCAAGACCAAATTCATCCAGTGGAAATGTTGAGTATGAATTATAATGTAGCCTTAATCTGAAGAAAACGAACAAACAAGCCCAATTTGACTATAGTAGAGGTTTATCATGCTAATGGCTGATGGGAGATCGGAACCAGTAAGAAAAGATTCCTACCCATCCAGATAGTACCTTAATTCAATTGGTGAAATCAAACAGCACTCCTGAAGCGATCAGAAGTCTTGTTGGAGATGTTTATCACTCCCTTAATCAAATTATTCTGGTCTGAGGGCTGCTGTGTCTTGGACCACTTATGCAGCTGTCCTTCATATTTCTGCAGTCAGACTGAGGTTCAGATCCAGACAGGCTCAGAGTCAGAGATGATGACTAATCAAGTTTGGTTTGCCTTGAAGCGCACGTTGACATTCTAAGATGGTTTTTTTCACCAGGTAGTGCTTACTCTGCTATGTGCCTGAAATGAGTTTATATGTGGGCTTGCTGGTCCTTAATAATAGTAATTTGAATATTTAATTGTTAATCATGACGTTTTACACATTAGATCATTTTCAGAGTAGCACTAGTTACCATTTGAAATCTTGCACACTCATCAAGCAGTTTTGTTTTGTTGTTTTTTTTTTTTGGGGGGGGGGGGGGGGGGGGGCTAAATTGTGAATGTAAGAGATTATCTGAATGTGTGAGTAGGTTGGTTGATCTAACAAGAGAAGGTACTGTCTTTTCTTTTTTCCCCTTTCTCTCTCTCATATGGATGTTTCCCTCAAAATCCTTCCTTTTCTGTGTCCCATTCTGTTTCTTTATCCCACCTTGTCTCCTCTGTCTTGTTGTTCTCACCTCTTACTCATATCTCTCTTCGGACTACGAGCAGCAGCGGCAGCGGGTAAAGTTCTCTCACTTTTTCCTCCTCATTTTCTTCTTCTGCACTCTTGGTATCTGTTTCTCTGATCACACATCTCTTTCCTTCTCATTCATCCATTGTCAAAGTTGAAATGTGTATCTGTCTATATTATTTTTCTTTTTTTTTTTAAATCCATTGTTCACCATGGAACAACTCGGACTCAAACCCAACTAAACCTCATCTTAACTTCTGTCAGGTCCTCAGCTGATTCACACAGATGCAAAGGAGATATTTGTGCTTTAATTGCAGGTTTTTCCACACATTTTTATTTCAATAAATATGGATATGAACATGATCAAGAAAGAAACTTTTAACCAAAGATGGATAAAAACACAGACACAGTGATTTGCATACACACACACACACACACACACTCATGCAGATACACACATTAGTGGTGGTTGTGTGCAAATACACACACAGCCACCACCAGTCTGCCATCTGGTCTAACAGCTGTAAGACACAGGCAGCTGTATACACAGCTGCTGCCCCCCTAAGGATCACTTTCAGTGACCTCTTCACCCTGATCTGTACACTGGATATGTGAGGATTTGTTAAAATCAGGGCATTTGAATTACAGTCAAATTTTCTATTAAACTAATCGCAGCCAGTTTACATAAAGTCAGCATCAGTTAACTCCTGCATTGTTTCTTTAGGCTCCTGCAGCCTTGTACACAGTGCCAGCCCAAATCCAGTATTTGACATGTCTAGATTACAGAAACTTATTCAGAAAGTTTGGACAACAACACCTTTCACCTTGGAAGCTATAGCAAGTAGCTAGGGATCTTAAGCTACTTGCTATAGCTAGAGAGATACCTATGGCGTTACCACAGAAACCCATAAAGCTAGGTTGGTAATGTCTGGAAGCACAAATCCGACTGTAACACTTGAAGATAAGGAAAGTCTGATCACAACATCTGATTTAAGGAACAAATCTGCCATGTCTTCAGTCTGAACATAGCCTTTGAGGTCTATTATAATTTAACACTCTATGGCATATGTGCCTGGACAGTTACACTGCCAAAGTGAAAAAAAACAAAGAGAGGTTTGGCTCAGCATTTCATTGGGAAATGCTTTATAAAATCTTTGTCTTGGCCAAAAACCATGCAAGACAAGATTCCATGCTGTCTGAACAATGCTGTGAAACAAGCTAATCCTGGAGCTTATAGAAATTAACTAGATGAGTCATCAAGAGAGAGTTTGGCTTGTTCATTTAAAAAGTTTTTCCCATTTTTAAGCACAACAACACTACCAAATTGTGGCATATGCTTGAAATTGAAGGCGTTTTGAAAATGTGTTAAAACTTTTAACGCATTTACGGTGACGAGCAGAAGAGCCCCTTGCTTTGCTCCTCTTACTCAACTGCCCTACGACAGAATACAATTTTGTTCTCGCTGAGAGTACAGCTAAACTCTCTCTCTCTAAATGTCTCTCTATAGAATAAATTTCTCCACCCCTCAAACTGCTGCTTAAAAGAAGAAATACTGCAGCATGGAAAGCAAGGTTTCAATGCAGCATGAACAGATTTCACCATTAACTGCGCATGGGCAAACTGAGGCTTTAGTGTTTTTGAAAGGCATTGAAATACATTGCAAAACACTACACAAGGGAGATAGCATTCAGACAGGAATGATATCAGTTGTTCCCATAGCATGTACTCTAGTTATAAATCCCCACCTAATTCTAGCATGTAGCTACGATGTTATCCTCACACTTAGGAATAAGGCTAAAGCGTAATCTGATAGCAATGCTGCATGCGTTGCTATGCACTTAACCCAGACGTAGTTACTCATTGATTTTGAGTTAACTCGGACACACATGCCATCAAGAAATGGCTGCCCATCGCCATTTTGGAATCGAGAGGATTAAGGCTTTCATGTGCTGCGTATACTAAGTCTGCTGAGACTTGTAACTTTCACTCTCCTGTGTGTACATGTATGTCTTCTTTGTTTTTGGTGTGTAAACACGTGTAGGGGGAACAGCAAGGGAAAAGACATCAGCACCATCAAGTCGCTGAGGGTACTGAGAGTGCTACGACCTCTAAAGACTATTAAACGACTTCCCAAACTCAAGGTACGCTTGCGCAGCAAAGAGACTCCATTACTTATATTTCACTTTTACACAGATTATTGATGAAATCTACCTTAAGGTAAGTACAACAACCAAGAAAATTAAACAAATTACACCCTGATCTACCATCATCTATTATTCTTTAACCCCCCCTAATATTATGTTGTTCTCTTGCTTTGTCCTCAGGCTGTGTTTGACTGTGTGGTGAACTCTCTGAAGAATGTGCTCAACATCCTGATCGTCTATTTACTCTTCATGTTCATCTTTGCTGTGGTTGCTGTTCAGCTCTTCAAGGGGCGTTTTTTTTACTGCACTGATGAATCCAAAGAATTTGAGCGCGACTGCAGGTCAGGAAAAAAAATCCAACTCCTTTCACCTTGCGCTGTGAAAATGTCCTGGTGACCTGCATAACTTTTGGTTTAATCCTTAAAGATTAAAGTGTCTCCTCTCCATCCTCTGTGTCATACCTAATGCAAACGTTTATAAGTTTTTTTCCTTTCAGTCCTTGTGCTGATTTTGTGTTTTTCAGAGGCGAGTATCTGGTGTACGAACGTGATAACGAAGTGAGGGCGCAGAAGCGGGAGTGGAAGAAGTACGATTTCCACTACGACAATGTGGCTTGGGCCCTTCTCACCCTCTTCACTGTCTCTACTGGAGAGGGGTGGCCGCAGTGAGTAGCCTATATGTGAATATATTCATTCATAAATAGAGCAAGTGTGGATATTGACAACCTGTAACAATACTTCACTGTCACTTCAGGGTGCTGAAACACTCGGTCGATGCGACTTACGAGAATCAGGGCCCAAGTCCAGGATACCGGATGGAGATGTCCATCTTTTACGTGGTGTACTTCGTGGTCTTCCCCTTCTTCTTCGTCAACATCTTCGTAGCTCTCATTATCATCACTTTCCAGGAACAAGGCGACAAGATGATGGAAGATTACAGTTTAGAAAAGAATGAGGTGAGCAAGGATTCCGAAACTGGAGCGTTGCATGATGGAAAGGCACGATGCAAACCGAAAATGTCTTTTTCTGCTGTTTTTGACAGAGAGCCTGTATAGACTTTGCCATCAACGCCAAGCCTCTGACACGCCACATGCCACAAAACAAGCTAAGCTTTCAGTACCGTATGTGGGAGTTTGTGGTGTCACCGCCATTTGAGTATACCATCATGGCGATGATCGCGCTCAACACAATCGTGCTGATGATGAAGGTAAAGGCCTGCAAGCTCCAAACAAGGAATAAGTAACGCACAGAACAACATAAACACCAAGACAGCCACCGAGTTGCTGAACTTAACGTCTAAATTTATACCATTAGCTCTTGTTGCCTGCGCCTTAAAAAAAAATACAAGCAGCCTTTACTAGTCTGGAATGATTCAAATACTTCTGCTTTTCTGAGAGAGGTACTGCCTATGTGTGTTTTTGTTTACAGTATTACGGAGCCTCCGACACCTATGAAGCTGTGTTAGCCAACCTGAACATAGTGTTTACTTCCCTCTTCTCCATGGAGTGTGTACTCAAGATCATCGCCTTTGGAGCACTGGTGAGTATTTCTGGGTTTATGTGTGGCGACGATGTACTGCTCTGTAAAAATATGAGAAGCCAATAAGAACATATATACATATTTATTTTCATGCCTTTTTTCTGTATTGAATGAATTTTACCATTTAAAATGAACAGAATGCCCATATACTAAACAAAACAAAAAACTGAAAACGTTTACAGCCAAAAACAGCTCTTCATCTGGGCCTGACTTTCAACTAGATTACCCTGTATCCCCCACTTTCTCCACCAATCTATGTATTACACTGTCTAATGCTATTCGGATTGTTGGCAATAATCAAATGATTTGTTTTTCAGTTACAAAACCAAAAATTTAAACAAATCAGAAGCTACAAAAAATCAGTGATAAAGTTATTTTACCGGCAAAAGATGCAGATGAGAGAAAAAAGTACAGACGAGATAGTTTGACAATGAATGGGAGGTGATAAAGGACAGAGGTGGGATTATAATATATTAACTGAAAAAATGAAAGTGAGTGACATATAGGCGGCCAAAAGAGAAGCAAAGATTAGAGAGCGGGTGGTGAGTAGACAGCATCAGCTCTGATTCATGGATAAACTTATGTACGTATTAGGCATGTCGTAAGCACACATAATCCCAGCCCTCAGAGATATTAGTGTCCGTGTGTGTGTATGTGCGTGCGTGTGTGTGTGTGTCAAAGTGGTTTATTTTAATATCCGCCTCCCTTGCTCTCCCCTGGTCCTTCCACTTGTCTAATGCACAATTTGGCTCCAGGTAATATGTGGGTAAGCAAAGAAGCAGAGGCTTATTAGCATTTTGTCCCGAGTATTACATGACTCGTTGCTTTGAGTGTCCCCACTTATTGAAAGAATGCTTTAGAAAATCTCTAATCAAATATAGATTGAATTTTTTTTTGCATATATATCTATAAATGGAGGGCTATAATAGAATTTTTAAAAGGTTTTGAAACTGAAAGAAATTCAAATTGGTTTTTGCTGTACTGTATGTGTTGTTTGATGGATGTTATAGTCTTGTGATGCAGTACAATGTGTCCCTGGTGTACTGGTATCTTTCCAGCTTCCCTTCACTGATGGTCAATTTGTCTCATCTAATTTCTTTCCTGTTCCTGTCCTACACTGACATTTGTTTTCTTCCACTTTCTTGTTCCCCTTCTGTATTTTTCTGTCCTTGTCTCATTTTCTAATTCTTTACTTCTTACTTTTTTTTCTCCTTGGTATGGTTTTTCATTTAAATATGACTTATACATCCTTTTGCTTGTTATTTTCATGTGATCTGTCTGCGCTCCATCCCGTTGCGTTGCTCAATTTCTCTGTCAATCTTTATCTCTTCCCCTCCTTACTCTTTGTCTGCTTCCTTGCCACATCAATGTTCTTCTGCTTTTTACTGTGTCACTCTTGCCTCATGTCACCTCATATCCTCCTTTTTTCTCCTTTATCCTGCTCGTTGTTCTTCTCTGTCCCTGTCTCGTCTCTTCTTCTTTCTCTCGCTTTCTTGTACTTCTTTTTTCCCTCTCTCTTATGCTGATCACAGAATTATTTCAAAGATGCCTGGAATATTTTTGACTGTGTGACAGTTCTGGGCAGCATTACAGACATCCTCGTTACTGAGCTTGGGGTAAGTACCAGATTTTGAGGTGTCTGTGTACAGATGTTTATGTTTTACACTCCTGTATTGAAAAGTCAAACTGGAAGCAAACAGATGTGATATTACATTAGCATGTTTCTTTCTTAAACAGGCATGACTGAGGTATGTTTGGTGAACTTCAGAATGTGTTTGTGGACTTTCACATCTGCCTCACCATCTAAAAAACATTAAGTAGACAAGACAAGGAGTAAGGAGAGAGCATGAGTTAGAGGCCAGTGTTGAGTTGCTCAGTCATGCATGAGTATCTCTTGAAAGTCTTATATAATTGTCCCAGTTGGTGGGATGGGAATACAGCCAACCAGTGCCGAGCCACTGACAGGCAGGAAGGCAGGAAGCATGCTGATTACCTATAGTGAGCCATAGCCTCTCCAAGCAGCCTTTTAGTTTGTTATAATATTAGGGTGGTCAGTGGGTGCATCAGTTTGCAACTGCATCAGAAGTACCTGAAACAACAACAGCATCAACAACATTATGGGTATATTAAGATCAATGATGAATGAGTGCCCTAGATTTGGTGTGCAGCATTACATTTTTGCTAAATATTGCACCAAATTGCCTGTAATGACACGCTGAACCAAGTAAACAAAATGAGTTAATTCAGTTTATTTAGGACCTGCATTCAGATTTTTCAAATGTTGTATTACCTCACTATGTCCATTAAGGAGATGAAATTGTGTGTCAGTGCATTTATTATGTGATGCATGAAACTGGGTTGAGCATCATTTGTGAAACACTTGTTCAATCCTAAAAATCTATTTAAACGTAGAACCCCAAAAATAGTACATTTGTATAAATCTACATACAGAAGGTAATCAGAGAGACTCAACCTAAAGCTAATATTTGAAGGTTGGTACAAATGTTCTTTGTATATTGTTGGGACATATTTTAAGAAAAGACTCTTGTTGCGTAAGAAGTAAACTCTGAATAACAGATGGTATTGATAGGAATACAGGGAGTGCAGAATTATTAGGCAAATGAGTATTTTGTCCACATCATCCTCTTCATGCATGTTGTCTTACTCCAAGCTGTATAGGCTTGAAAGCCTACTACCAATTAAGCATATTAGGTGATGTGCATCTCTGTAATGAGAAGGGGTGTGGTCTAATGACATCAACACCCTATATCAGGTGTGCATAATTATTAGGCAACGTCCTTTCCTTTGGCAAAATGGGTCAAAAGAAGGACTTGACAGGCTCAGAAAAGTCAAAAATAGTGAGATATCTTGCAGAGGGATGCAGCAGTCGCAAAATTGCAAAGCTTCTGAAGCGTGATCATCGAACAATCAAGCGTTTCATTCAAAATAGTCAACAGGGTCGCAAGAAGCGTGTGGAAAAACCAAGGCGCAAAATAACTGCCCATGAACTGAGAAAAGTCAAGCGTGCAGCTGCCAAGATGCCACTTGCACCCAGTTTGGCCATATTTCAGAGCTGCAACATCACTGGAGTGCCCAAAAGCACAAGGTGTGCAATACTCAGAGACATGGCCAAGGTAAGAAAGGCTGAAAGACGACCACCACTGAACAAGACACACAAGCTGAAACGTCAAGACTGATGAAATGAGAGTGAGTTTTTTGTTTGTTGCCTAATAATGCCTAATAATTATGCACAGTAATAGTCACCTGCACACACAGATAACCCCCTAAAATAGCTAAAACTAAAAACAAACTAAAAGCTACTTCCAAAAACATTCAGCTTTGATATTACTGAGTTTTTTGGGTTCATTGAGAACATGGTTGTTGTTCAATAATAAAATTATTCCTCAAAAATACAACTTGCCTAATAATTCTGCACTCCCTGTACATAATCTGTATTTAGGAGATGAAGCCATTTCTTGGACAGAATTAATTTAAGAAGAAATTCAAAAACTATCCCCAATAATGTTGAAGTCAGAGTTGTAGAGTATTTGCAGCTGTAACCAAGAATCAAGAGCCAATGTAACAATTACTACTGAAAGGCTTTTCTCTCTTTTTTTTAACAATTTATAATAATGCAATATAAGCCGTAATAAGTGGAGGCTGTGTGCTCTGTATATTTCTTGCCTCAACTACGTGGAAAATCCACCTACATTGCAAACATTACATTATTATAACCACCTCTGCTCTTCTTTGACAGTTGCATCATTACTATATATCACATGACTTTGGCAGTCAGTCCTATTGGGTGGTGTATGAGTTTTTGGTTACCTTGTATGTGGGTCACATCTTAGTACTGTAGCTTGCTTCATTAGAAAGGTTGAGAATTAGTGCCTTTCAAAGAGATGCCCTGTTGTCTCTCCACTCTAATGCCTCACCAATCTTACCATTATTATAAAAATATAGATCCCAATTGATTGAGTATGATTAGATGATTTCCTCTCCCCTGTGTTGTATTGTTTGTTTCTACCTGCCTGGATAGGAAAATCTTCTATTTCTGAGTTTGGTTTGATTTGACTTGTTTAGCTCCTGGTTATTTTTTTTTTTATTATTTATTTATTAGTTTATTTATTTATTAATTGGTACAGAGCGTGAATCTCTGTTCATTTGGTCTTGATTATTTCTACTCAAGATTTCATTCACTTATGTATCGACATACAGTCATGGATTTTTAGAATCCATGTATTTTCTTTTTTCATGCTGCCTTGATTCTTGGTATCAGCATTATGAATGTGTAAAATCTACAGACACTTACCTTTGTGCTAATTTCTCTTTGAATGACTGTTGATTTCTTTCTTGTTTTTATCTTTTCACATGCTTTCTTTAAATCGTCCTCAAACTTAACGACGATCTACTGTAATCTACTTCTCCAATCCCCTTCTCCCCTCAACACCTACTACTTGCTGTGATTCCATCCAATCAAAATGCACTATGATTCCTCTGTGTCCACCCATGACAACTGGCTTGGTCAATCTCTCTGGTTGTTCTTCGAACCAACCAATAATCCAAAAATTTGCTGCTATAAACCATAACTCTGCAACATCCACATGTAGATGGTTTGTAATTTTTTGGAGATCTTATTTTACTGCATGTGTTTCAGCTGCATCCCAGTCAACGTTCTGGCTCTGGAATGTGTACAGTTTGCTTGACTGCTTTGCTATGATCACTCTGAACCCTTAACTTGTACATTTGCGTTTGTTATCTCCCAGCTAGTCACTGTATATCTCCACAAGCGTGTGCTGAAATATATCCTTTACTCAACACTAATATTCGGTTTGTAAAGGATTGGGTTTTAGAAACTACAGTAGATGGTAAAATTTATCCACATATATGTATAAAAGTTGCTGGGAGAGTGTTTCTAGTAACAACATATTAAATCCAAAGCTTTGACAGTGGCAGGAAGAACAAGTGATGCATGTTGCCCATTGCATGCCACTGGCAGAAACCCCTGTACACACAGACACACACAGAAACATGCAGCAATGCAATATAAGCAGTAATTGAATAAAGCCTGCATGTGCTGATACCAGTTACTTTTGAGCACTTCACATCTCAACCTGCAGTCTAATAGATTTATCTGCTAAACTATGTACAGTTTATTAGTCACGTGTTCAGTCTGATGAGAGTGGAAAATGGTAACCTAAAGAAATTCACCTATGTAGTAATGACCTTTGTTGGTCCTTGAACCACCCTCTGCTCTTATTTGACAGTGACATCACTATTGTATGTCACATGACTTTGGCAGTCGGTCCTATTGGATGGTGCATGAGCTGCCGTTTTTGCTTGCCTTGCATTGGCTGCTTTGCCTTGTGTTTGGTTCACATCTGCATGCTGCGGCTTGCTTCATTTGAAACGTTGCATATTTTGCCTTCGGAGAATTAGTGCATTTGGTTGTCTTTCCAAGAAGTGTCCTGAAGTCCCTGCACTCTAACTCCTCACCAGTCCTAACACAATTACTAAAAACATATATCCCAATTGGATGAAACTGGTTAGATCTGGATGATTTCCTTTCCCCTGTGTTGTATGGTTTGATTCTACATTACTGGATATGAAAAGCTTGTTTGGAGCCTTGCTGATTTGAGTTTGGTTTGCTTTGACTTGTTTGGCTCCTGATATTTTTTATTATTATTTGTATTGAGTTTGAATCTTCTTTAATTTGGATTTGACTGTTTTTCTTCTCATTTTTTTTATTCGTCTGTAAGGAAGATTGCCTGCATAATTTGAAGTACGACTAACTATTTTCCTTCCCTTTCCATTCCCCAATCCCCCCTCTTGTTCCCTTTTCACAATCCTTTATTTCTGTTCTCTTTCCCTTGCTTTTCCCTTCCTCAACTCCCCCATTTCTCTGGTTATACTGTGGCTGTATTGTAGAATAATTTCATCAACCTAAGTTTCCTAAGGCTGTTCAGAGCAGCTCGTCTCATCAAACTGCTGAGACAGGGAGAAACCATCCGAATCTTGCTCTGGACCTTCGTTCAGTCTTTCAAGGTTTGCTTCCAATTATACAGCTTATTACCCTGAAAAATCACATGCATTGATATGTGTAGACGCTACATGTCAGTGCAGTGTATTCATTGTATAGATCCCTTCCTTTTACAAAAGAGGTTTTGGTGCAGTGCAAAAGTATATTAAAAAAAAGAATTTGATTTTGATTTGAACCTTATATTAAACTGTAAAACGTGTTGTTAAAAGGCATTATTCATTTTAAATTGGCTGCCAGCAATTCTTTTAGAGGAAGCTGCTCCTAACATTGGTAGCATTGTTGTGCTTAAAGGTACAGTGTACAGTGGGGCAAAAAAGTATTTAGTCAGCCACCGATTGTGCAAGTTCCCCCACTTAAAATGATGACAGAGGTCAGTAATTTGCACCAGAGGTACACTTCAACTGTGAGAGACAGAATGTGAAAAAAAAATCCATGAATTCACATGGTAGGATTTGTAAAGAATTTATACGTAAATCAGGGTGGAAAATAAGTATTTGGTCACCTCAAACAAGGAAAATCTCTGGCTCTCACAGACCTGTAACGTCTTCTGTAAGAAGCTTTTCTGTCCCCCACTCGTATGAATGGCACCTGTTTTAACTCATCATCTGTATAAAAGACACCTGTCCACAGCCTCAAACAGTCAGACTCCAAACTCCGCCATGGCCAAGACCAAAGAGCTTTCGAAGGACACCAGGAAAAGTATTGTAGACCTGCACCAGACTGGGAAGAGTGAATCTACAATAGGCAAGCAGCTTGGTGTGAAAAAATCAACTGTGGGAGCAATCATCAGAAAATGGAAGACATACAAGACCACTGATAATCTCCCTTGATCTGGGGCTCCACGCAAGATCTCATCCCGTGGGGTCAAAATGATCATGAGAACGGTGAGCAAAGATCCCAGAACCACACGGGGGGACCTGGTGAATGACCTGCAGAGAGCTGGGACCAAAGTAACAAAGGTCACCATCAGTAACACACTACAACGGCAGGGAATCAAATCCCGCAGTGCCAGACGTGTGCAGAGAGCTGGGACCAAAGTAACAAAGGTCACCATCAGTAACACACTACAACGGCAGGGAATCAAATCCCGCAGTGCCAGACGTGTTCCGCTGCTGAAGCCAGTGCATGTCCAGGCCCTTCTGAAGTTTGCCAGAGAGCACATGGATGATACAGCAGAGGATTGGGAGAATGTCATGTGGTCAGATGAAACCAAAGTAGAACCTTTTGGTATAAACTCAACTCGTCGTGTTTGGAGGAAGAAGAATACTGAGTTGCATCCCAAGAACACCATACCTACTGTGAAGCATGGGGGTGGAAACATCATGCTATGGGGCTGTTTTTCTGCCAAGGGGACAGGACGACTGATCCGTGTTAAGGACAGAATGAATGGGGCCATGTATCGTGAGATTTTGAGCCAAAACCTCCTTCCATCAGTGAGAACTTTGAAGATGAAACGAGGCTGGGTCTTCCAACATGACAATGATCCAAAACACACCGCCCAGGCAACAAAGGAGTGGCTCCGTAAGAAGCATTTGAAAGTCCTGGAGTGGCCTAGCCAGTCTCCAGACCTCAACCCATAGAAAATCTGTGGCGGGAGTTGAAAGTCCGTGTTGCTCGGCGACAGCCCCAAAGCATTACTGCTCTCGAGAAGATCTGCATGGAGGAATGGGCCAAAATACCAGCTACTGTGTGTGCAAACCTGGTAAAGACCTATAGTAAACGTTTGACCTCTGTTATTGCCAACAAAGGTTATGTTACAAAGTATTGAGTTGTATTTTTGTTATTGACCAAATACTTATTTTCCACCCTGATTTACGAATAAATTCTTTACAAATCCTACCATGTGGATTCATGGATTTTTCTTTCACATTCTGTCTCTCACAGTTGAAGTGTACCTCTGGTGCAAATTACTGACCTCTGTCATCACTTTAAGTGGGGGAACTTGCACAATCGGTGGCTGACTAAATACTTTTTTGCCCCACTGTATGTGTATCATACAAAGGAGCCAAGAGAGGACGGAGGTCTTCATATTTATTTTCACTGCATGTTTGAGGTTAAACTTTTAACTTGGATTTCAAAACAATGGTTTTCAGAAATTTCTGGAGTCCATGGAGGGATTTTCATAAGACCAATAGAGGCACTTACAGTGGGGCAAAAAAGTATTTAGTCAGCCACCGATTGTGCAAGTTCCCCCACTTAAAATGATGACAGAGGTCAGTAATTTGCACCAGAGGTACACTTCAACTGTGAGAGACAGAATGTGAAAAAAAAATCCATGAATCCACATGGTAGGATTTGTAAAGAATTTATTCGTAAATCAGGGTGGAAAATAAGTATTTGGTCAATAACAAAAATACAACTCAATACTTTGTAACATAACCTTTGTTGGCAATAACAGAGGTCAAACGTTTACTATAGGTCTTTACCAGGTTTGCACACACAGTAGCTGGTATTTTGGCCCATTCCTCCATGCAGATCTTCTCGAGAGCAGTGATGTTTTGTGGCTGTCGCCGAGCAACACGGACTTTCAACTCCCGCCACAGATTTTCTATGGGGTTGAGGTCTGGAGACTGGCTAGGCCACTCCAGGACTTTCAAATGCTTCTTACGGAGCCACTCCTTTGTTTCCCGGGCGGTGTGTTTTGGATCATTGTCATGTTGGAAGACCCAGCCTCGTTTCATCTTCAAAGTTCTCACTGATGGAAGGAGGTTTTGGCTCAAAATCTCACGATACATGGCCCCATTCATTCTGTCCTTAACACGGATCAGTCGTCCTGTCCCCTTGGCAGAAAAACAGCCCCATAGCATGATGTTTCCACCCCCATGCTTCACAGTAGGTATGGTGTTCTTGGGATGCAACTCAGTATTCTTCTTCCTCCAAACACGACGAGTTGAGTTTATACCAAAAAGTTCTACTTTGGTTTCATCTGACCACATGACATTCTCCCAATCCTCTGCTGTATCATCCATGTGCTCTCTGGCAAACTTCAGAAGGGCCTGGACATGCACTGGCTTCAGCAGCGGAACACGTCTGGCACTGCGGGATTTGATTCCCTGCCGTTGTAGTGTGTTACTGATGGTGACCTTTGTTACTTTGGTCCCAGCTCTCTGTAGGTCATTCACCAGGTCCCCCCGTGTGGTTCTGGGATCTTTGCTCACCGTTCTCATGATCAGTTTGACCCCACGGGATGAGATCTTGCGTGGAGCCCCAGATCGAGGGAGATTATCAGTGGTCTTGTATGTCTTCCATTTTCTGATGATTGCTCCCACAGTTGATTTTTTCACACCAAGCTGCTTGCCTATTGTAGATTCACTCTTCCCAGTCTGGTGCAGGTCTACAATACTTTTCCTGGTGTCCTTCGAAAGCTCTTTGGTCTTGGCCATGGCGGAGTTTGGAGTCTGACTGTTTGAGGCTGTGGACAGGTGTCTTTTATACAGATGATGAGTTCAAACAGGTGCCATTCATACAGGTAACGAGTGGGGGACAGAAAAGCTTCTTACAGAAGACGTTACAGGTCTGTGAGAGCCAGAGATTTTCCTTGTTTGAGGTGACCAAATTCTTATTTTCCACCCTGATTTACGAATAAATTCTTTACAAATCCTACCATGTGAATTCATGGATTTTTTTTTCACATTCTGTCTCTCACAGTTGAAGTGTACCTCTGGTGCAAATTACTGACCTCTGTCATCATTTTAAGTGGGGGAACTTGCACAATCGGTGGCTGACTAAATACTTTTTTGCCCCACTGTATTAATTGTGAGATATTCCACCAGGTGATAGATAGATAGATAGATAGATAGATAGATAGATAGATAGATAGATGCAGGATCTAGCTTATTAGTTAACATTTATTGTGTCTCTTTTCAGGCATTGCCTTATGTTTGCCTCCTCATTGCCATGCTGTTTTTCATCTACGCCATCATTGGGATGCAGGTGGGTGAGAACCTCAACCTAAAACTTGCTCCAGTGCTGCTGGGATGCATTAAATATATTTTATAGTATAACTATAATGACGAGGAGTGCAGCATACTAAATGATAGTGAAAAGAGTGATCATATTTGGAGTATAATAGCAAGAGAAGGAACATTACAAAAATGTCAAAATGGGATTTATGTCTTAGTTTCAGATTGTTACTTATAATCTTTGTTCCTGTATGTTTTTGTGGCAAAAAAGACTAAATGTTCAGCGATCAACAACCATCGTCTAGTTTTCACTTTTAACAGTATCATTGTGTTTGACAGCTGTTTGGGAATATTGCAATTGAAGAAGTTGGAGACAGTGCCATCAACCAACATAACAACTTCAGGACCTTTGTAGAGGCTCTTATGCTTCTCTTTAGGTGCTTTTATATGTAACTCTGTAAACCTATAATATACATTTCCATGCATGCCCCAGTCTCTCTTGAGGTCATTCAATTCTGGATAGGTAAAATAATCTTTTTGTATGTTTGAAGGAGTGCAACGGGTGAGGCATGGCACGAGATCATGTTGGCGTGTCTTGGGGGTAAGGACTGTGACCTCAAGTCAGGGAATGTAGATCCAGATTGTGGCAGCCAGTTTGCCTACCTCTACTTTGTGTCGTTCATCTTCTTCTGTTCATTCTTGGTGAGCCCCCGGGTTATCCCAGTTACTGATCGACATAACATAATATAACATTACATGACACAACACAGTGCAATGCAATGTCACACAGCATGACAAAACACATTATAACATACACATAACTAGGGATGGCATAACACGACAGCACAACATAAGATGACTTGACAAAACTTAACATAACATCATGTGACCGATCATAACATCGTAACATAATGTATCACGATATAGTATATCATAACGTAACATGAAATACCACATTGTAACCTGACATATCGTAAAATTGCATGACATAACTTGGTATAACGTAATATGACATAATAAGACATAACAAGACTAACAATAACATAAAATTGTCCATCTTTTAGTTAAAGCTGATTAAGTAAATTAGCATTTCACGTCACAGCTATTAAACCAGTGATTTTGTGAAATCAGTGGCTGTTTGTAACTTTTTTTGTAACTTTTCTGTTTGTATGTGTGTCGCTGTGTGTGTTTGTGTGCATGCATGCGTAGATGCTGAATCTGTTTGTAGCTGTTATCATGGACAACTTTGAGTACCTGACTAGAGATTCATCCATACTAGGACCTCACCATTTGGATGAGTATGTCAGGATATGGGCGGAGTATGACCCTGCTGCCTGGTGAGTTATATAACGCCTATACTCAGGTGTAAAGAGGCACAAGCACAAGGAACAGATCTGTTTACACATGTAGTACTTGCACATATATTCATAAAATTATACTTTTAAGAGTTTGTACATACAACAACAAAGACACTATTTAAAACCTGATATTTAGACACCTTTAATGCATCTTTTTCTCTATATTTTAATAAGCTTGCCCACACAGAGAGACGCAAGAAGTTAAAGCGGCTACTTCTCCTTAATTTTGAGATTTTCTTTTCTTTTTTTGGTGTGAAGACTTTTTTTTAAAGTGATACAGTGAACAAGAGAATTGAACACATACAAGCATCGGCTTTTTAAAACATTAATTTACTAAAGAAATAGCTGCAAGGGGGCTGTAACGGATCTGAGTATAACCTCATCAGACATCTGGTTATCTCTCTCACACCGTACAACCCCTCCCACTCTGTCCTCGCCTTTATTGTAAACTCCCTTCACCCCTTCCTAACACTCTCCCTCTTCTGGAATCGGTATACTGTCAAAAACTTAACACGGCAACGTCTACACTCGAAACTGAAGCTTCCGTGTAGTCCAAATGTATATTGTAGACATGCTAAGTTTCATGGTATCTGTATTCCAGTGCCTGTGTTTTTCCCTCATGCCTTCCTATAGAATGCACTACTATAAATAGAAAATACAAATAATATGGTGTGCAATAAATATGCTGTGCACCATTTCTATTGTACAGTTGTGTTAGGATTGCCTTTCTTGAGACTAACATGCTATTTTTTAACCTCTAAGGAAACCAAGTAATAAACAAAGAAGAAGAAGAGAATACAATAAGAAGGCACTGTTTAGGACAACTTTAAACAGAATGTGCCATTCAGTTATGTTTCTGCTATTTCTGTATGTGCATGTAGAGTTTGTATAAGTGCATTCAAGTGATGTCGTAAGAGTCAGTTTTTACAGTTCTTCTATATTGTAAAGTATTTCCAGATACTGTGTTCTTGTCAATCTTGTATTCTTCCTCCCAATGTCCCCTCTTCTTTCTTGATGTGTGTGCCTGTGTGTGTGCGCGTGCATGTGTTTTTCTTGTGTGTGTGTGTGTGTGTGTGTGCGCGTGTTTGTTAACTCCCTGTATTCTTCTTGCAGCGGGCGCATACATTATAAGGACATGTACAGTTTATTACGAGTTATCGACCCGCCTCTTGGCTTAGGCAAGAAATGCCCCCATAGGGTGGCCTGCAAGGTTTGACTTCCATTCAAACAAAACTTCTTAAATCACTCTTGCTAGCCACAGCATCCAGGAATGGAGTGAATGCCGCTTTGTTTTCTTCTTCATTTCAACTTTACAACTTTGTTTCCACCATTATCGACTTGCATTCTGAACTGCCGAGAGAATGTGCGGGACAATGCAGACACCCAGAGAAGCATGCGAAATGCATTAACCGAAATAGGGAGGGGTAATTCACATCAAGGCGTTTTATCATGTTGGAAAAAATAATCTTTTTTTTTTTTTTAATATATGAGCATTTTTTTTCCTTTTGCTTGCTGTGGAGACATGGCTATAATGTAGCAAGCTACGGTCGCCCACTGTAGTGTTGCATTGTTCTTGGTTGTTGGGGGGTTGGGGGAACGACAGAAACTGCATTGACACTTCTTCCCTCACTCCTTCCTCTTCCTTTTCCTCTCCTGTCTGAGCAGGAGCAGCTTGGCGCCCGCTGTCAGGCTCTGCCTGTTCTGTTCTTGCACAGAATTATCTTCTGATACTACAAGAGGATATTTATTCCTTAAATTCTTCCTCTTGCTCGCCTCCCTATCCACTGTCATTTACCCTGTTCTCTGATATGACAACCTGTTAGAGAGTACTGTTACTCAAAGAGAAGCCACACAGCCAAAACAGTCTCTCCAAATCCTCCCAATAACCTTGTCTCTCTGTTGTTGTTTTTTTTTAAACATTGTTTCAGTCATCTCTCTCTCTCTCTCTTGCTTTCTGTCTATCTTTCTCTAAAATCTTTTCTGCTACTCTTTCACTCTCTCTCCATTGTATTTCTCCTTCTTGGAATATCTGCATCTCTCTCTTTCTTGTTAACGGGGTGGTGGCATGGCTGATGATGCAGTGGCAGGATCAGTTGCAGGGAAATGTATGACATGCTGAGGCACATGAGTCCTCCACTAGGCCTCGGGAAGAGGTGTCCAGCTCGGGTGGCCTACAAGGTCAGAAAGGCCCCCATCTTCACCCAAGTCTTCTATGGGTGATGTGGGTTTTTTGGGGGGGAAGGCTATCTAGAACAATGATTTAAATTATCAACGTGGTGTAAACTTTTAGTGTCATTGTTTCTTTGGTTCTGTTCCTGTTTCTTTTTGTGGAAAGTGGGGGTGGGCTGGTCGGTGTTGTGACGTTGTGTGGTGATGTGGGACTTGTGGGTGGAGGTAGCAGGATGGTTAGGTTGACGGGTTTAGATAAGGGGTCTGTATCCACAGGAGGGGATGACAAAGAGGGACCTTCTCAGCTCATTTGCACCGTGTACAGCTCACATACACAAAAGCACAAAAGGCACACACCTCACGATTAGTAGTGTCCTCGTTTAACTGTATAGATCAATGCTGTATGAAGACATTAAGACACCTATTAAGCAGATAAACGTGTCACACATGTAGGCACCCTTCAATACATACACTTACACAGAAGCATGCGTGTGCAGCAGGGCTTGGAAGGTCCATTAGACTTATGTCCTCTGACTCGTTCCATCCTGTGGATGAGGTAGACGCATACACAGAAACACACAGAAATAGGTCATATCAACCTACACAGATATTTTCTGTTACTTCTCATGGTAGAGAGAGCAGAAGGGCTTGTGTCAGTGATGTGTTTTCCTCAGAGAGCCTTTGGTTGCCATACAGAAGCAGTTCTTTTTCTGTCACCCTTCATGTAGCAGCTCCAAGCCCCCAAGCAGCCTTTTCTATCTGCAAGTCCAATCTTCTCTTTGTCCTTTGGTTCTGTCGTCAATGCAGTTCTATTCTGTTTCCAGCCCCCCCCCCATTATCTCTGCATATTGCTCCCTTCTCCACACATGTACACTCCCTCACTTTCCCCCCTGCATGGCCAGTCCCCACCAACACCACCGCATCACTCCTGCACATGCCCTATTTGTCAAGTACAATACAGGTACAATGGATATCACGCAAACCGTTAGATTAAGAATATACTAAACATTAATAACACATTTACATTACATGCTACACGTGATCAGGTTAAAAAAAATCTTTTTCAGATTACTGTTAGCCTGAGGAGGCAGCAAGCCACACAATCTGTAGGCACAGACGATCACTCCATTGCTTTCTCCACCTCCCACTTCTCTTCCAGTAGAGCTGGGGCAAATAGTGCAGAGATTTTACATGATTTAAAGCTGCATGTGATTAAACACGTTTATCCGATTACATAAAAGAAGTCAAGATTGCTGACGTTGTGATCTGATACAATGTGCTATTTGACCCAAGCTTTTTAACTCTCTACTTTTCTGTTTTTTAATTGAACATTTTATGTTTAACACCCGCCATCATCCAACTTGGGCCTATAAACTTTCAAACTATGAGCCTCCTTCCTGAAATGTAAAAGTAAAAATACCAAAATGTATCCTGGTAGGTGTGCTTAGCATTCTATAATGCTTTTTATGCATGGTTGAGCATCTTTATCTTCTCTGATAAATATTACTAGATCCAAATTTATTTAGCATAAGTCTCAATTTGCTTTCCAGGCGAATCTAAATCTTAACTAGGACCTTCCATCCAGTCCACCTAATAGCTATCCTTTTAGTGTCGCTGCTTTTAACCCTTGATCTATTCTCTCCTGAAGAGAGACAGCATGGCTTTTCAGGCAGGACTGCTTGCTTTATTTTTTTTCCCTTTACAGACACAGCCAACTAAGTATGGCAGTGATTCCTTTTCTTTTTTTACATTACATTGTTTTGACTTTTATTTTTCTATTTTCGGTCACTTTTTCTCTTTATGTGCTCCAGCTCATAACCTATTGATTTTTCTTTCTCTATCATCTCTTTCCCTTAAGCTTTCCCTTTCAGTTCTTATTATATCTGTTTTCTGGCAGAAGAAATATTTCGCTTCACCTCATATTTCCTACACACGCCTGGATTATGTTCACCTGAAAAATCATTACGCGTCTTAGCACCAGAACAACGCTTCCATGGTGGGCTTTTTTTTTTGTTTTTGTTGTTGTTGTTGTTTTTTTTCCTCTTTTTCCACAGAACGCTGCTCTCTCTCACCTATTAACCCTTCGAGTCTATACCCATTTGTTCACACATTTGACATCAGAAAATGTCAGCGTAGCCTCATTGTCTACTATTTTTCTTAATGCCTCCGATAACAGCCACATTAAAGCAACTCACAAACTCATTTTAATGTCGCCAACAGAGGATGCTTTCTGTGTACAGCTGCACAGCTGCTTGTCCTGTGAGGCATATTGTGCCTGCATTGCATGCTGCATGGGGGTGGAACGCGCAAGAAGGATTTGGGGGGAAAGACGGATTAAAGGAGAGGCATATTTTTGGAATGTGGGGACGGGGGAGATGCATGGTGCGCTGCATGTCTTGGATGTCGCCGGGTTGTTGTCTTTTGTCACCAAACATGCATGAACATCACTCTGTTAGTTGATGTAAATCGTATTATTCGTGTGTGTTTGTTACTAACCAACAAGACCCGCAAAGGATAAAACCAATAAACAAAAACCACAGTGTTCCTCTTTCTTAGACCAGTCCCTCGGTTGGCTTATTGGTTTATCATCTGGTCTCTGTTGTTTTCACTGTGAACCTCCAAAGCACTAGGGGGAGCTCTGGATAATAGTAACTGCTGCTCAGCCTGTTCCTGGACAGTTATGAAGCAAATAAGAATGTGATTCTGAAAAAAGTCTCCACTAATCAATTTGTGACTTAGATGTTTAAAAATGAACAAGAATTTGGGCATTACTACGACTCTCTTGTCACTTCAGCACTCATAATCACATATGCGCCTAATTTGACACTTAAGTCTGAGCCACTATAGGCTGACAGACAAAGTCAGGGCCTGCTGCAGATGCTATGCACAGCTCCTTCAACTTCCGAACCCACCCCCTCTTCCCTTCTACCCACTCTCCTTCCCTGCTACAAGCTCAGAGCCCTTCCCCCTTTTCACCTGGAGGTTCCACATGCACCCCACCTTCTCCTCAATGTTCTTACTGCCTGACTGGCTTCCTCGCAGAGATTGCTCCGTATGGATCTGCCCGTGGCTGATGACAACACGGTCCACTTCAACTCCACTCTCATGGCCTTGATCCGCACAGCGCTGGACATAAAGATTGCCAAGGGTACGGACAATTTGACTTTCACTTGTCACATTTTCACATGCTTTCTTCTTCCTTCTCTCTTAACCCCAACATCCTCAAAGCAGAATTGTCTTTTCTGTGCTGAACCAGAAACTTCGAACTCTTCTTGATGCTCAATCCTCTATACAGCAACTGATGTGTTGTTATTTCCAAGGCTTTAGATTCTATATGTAGAACTTTTCTAGATTTAGCGTGAGGCTGAAGGTGAGACTGAATGTAGCTCACAAAGTTGATTGCTTGTGTTTCACTTCAGTTGTGAGCTTATATTAATTACATGACTAATAAAAGGAACCTTTTTTTTTTCTGTTTGTCTGTTTCCATGTTTGTATGTCTTTTCCCCCTTTTCCTTTCAATCTGAATGGCTATAAACAATGTGTGTAATTTTGTGTGTATGGGTAAACTTTCTTAATGTGCATTTTTCTGTGTTTTGTGTTCATTTGTGTTCTCATACTTGGGCATGGATGTCCATACATGTGTGTGTGTGTATCTGCATGTGTGTGCATGCTTCTGTTTTTTTAATGAATATGTCTAGGTGGTATCGACAAACACCAGATGGATGCAGAGCTAAGGAAAGAGATGATGGCAATCTGGCCCAACCTCTCCCAGAAGCATCTGGATTTGCTGGTGACACCACACAAGTGTAAGTGACCAGAGTTTGGGTAAACCACAGCAGTGCCATTTTCTGCTACCACCTAATGCTCCACCATTGTTCCTCTCCATGCCCCCTGAGGTCTGCTTCTCCAAACCAGTCTTTTTCCAGTGCTGCACCCTCTGAATTAGCTTTCACATCTGTCTCACACATCAGTACTCAGATTGTGTGAAAATGATCATGAAAAAACAGAAGCACAGAAACAAGCTGCATGGTAGACACAAAACAGCTCCACACACCCACGCAATAGTGCAGTATCTTGAAGTGGAGATCAATAAAACTGACTGAGACTGAACTACACAAGGACAACAGCTCATACCTGAAAAAACCCTTTCTCCATCATCACTGAATATATCAAAAATGTCCAATGGGTGGCAGTGCAATAATACAGTCTCCTGCAATTCCAATCCATTACACTCCTCCCCTAATCCCCAATTATCCAAAACAAGGAGAAAAAAAACTTCATTAAATAAACTACAACACTGGTTCAAAGATTCAGTCTTTCAGGTGGTATTCGTACTTGTTAAAGGCAGTGCTCTGCTTGTTGTTTCTCTGTAGAAACTGGAGTCTGTTAACTGCTACATACCCTCAGAAGTAACCTGAGCTTACTGGGATGAATTTTGGTTGATTGTTGCAGACCACTTCTTCTGGTTATCCATAAGAAGCTAAAAATTATGGAAATGTGAAATACCCACTTGAATCATGGGGAAGTCATGCTTGCCCATCATATTGCCACAGGGGCTGGCCGCTTCTATCACAGCAGCGGAGCCTCAGCCTGTCATTTCCTGGCATGTGCTGCAGTTCTTTACCACCACCCCTTTCCAGATGGAGCCACCACAACTAGCTTCTTGCAAATGCTTTCATGTGGCAGATGGCCACATGTTCGCGATGTAGGCCATTCAGCGTATTTGCTCTTTGAACTGTAGGAGCTATGACCGTCACTTCCTAGAAGACCCATCTTTGAACCACACACAGCCCAGTTGGATGTCTATAAGAATGTCTCGAGTGCGTCATCGTGTACGTGATTTGGCCATCTGTTCTAAGACCTTCGTGAGTGAGACAAAAAAAGTAATATTCTTCTTCTTTACCCGTATCACTGCTTCCCATCTAAAGAAATGTATCTGCATTTTCATTTCCTGATGACTTTCAATAATACTCTGTCATGGTTAAATACTGTAAGTATGGATACCCAATGCTGCTTTTTCAATGCAGCCAGAGTGGGGATGGCTGGCTCTGTGCCCGGGAATTGCCAAGAGTGCTCTCTAATCATTAATGAGGGTAAACTTCCTCCTGTAATAATATTTATGAAACTTCTTTCCTTCGGAGAATGACAGAGTATACTTTCTTATGCATTTGGGCGTATTTCCTCTCTGACTCACTCATGACGTAAATTCAGCTGACTTTTCCTCACGTCCCTCCATCAAATGAATAATGACAGTAACAGACCCTGATGATTTATTTCGGGCTAGCTGCAGCGACTTCCTGCTATGATTGTGAACTACTGCTGTGTTGCTTTTTGGCATTTTTAATGCTGCCTCACACTTAAAGGGCTTTCTTTGCATGCTACAATACAGTACATGGAAAAATTCTGCATGCGTTGGCCATAATAGGTCAGCAGCCCAAGAAAAAAACAAGGTAGTTGTGAACTTTTGCTAGTTCAGGGTTACAAGACTGAAGCTACCATCTGTGTCCAACAGGTGGCGGTAAAGTATTCATTTGCAATCACAAAATTACAAAATGAATACTGCATTTTTTTCCCTCCTTAAACTCACAAACGCAAGAGTCACCATTCCTTAACATTCACACTTCTACCCATTTCTGTGCCTGAGATCAGAGGGTGTCCTACTATAGATAAACCTTCTACAGATGTCTTTTCACTCCGTGGCAGGCAGGTTTATAGACTAGGGGCAAATCTCTCTTTTTACCATTAGTTATATTGAGGAAAGTATAAATCAGTAGTTGCTCTCATTCTGTGATGCCTTGATGTGCACAGATTGTATCTCTTTTTAAACAATTTTAATCATTTTACTGGAGACCACAGTTTGTTTAATATTACACACTAAACACGAGCCATATATCAGAAGGAGATTGTTCAGTTACAGCATTGTACTTGTGACACATAGAAGTGTTTTTTAGAGTTAACTGAAGTTTTTAATCAGCCTGGCAGTGAAAAGACTATTTTCTCGTATGTTCATGTATGCAAGTGCTTCCTGTGCGCTTGCCTCACACCTCTCTACCATTCCTCATGCTCAAAGACCAAAGAGCCTGATCCTGCAGGGTAACTTGTCATTCTCTCTGCAGCGACCGACCTGACAGTGGGGAAAATCTATGCCGCCATGATGATCATGGAGTACTACCGGCAGAGCAAGATCAAACGTTCCCAGGCTCTTCGTGATGAGCAGGTACTGCCTGTCTCCAGTGAAGTAACACTCTACCTGCATCCGATCCTTTAAAATTAAAGGCAGACTGACGTGCTGAAACCGAGGCCACAGGTCTGTAACTTCATCTATACAAGCCCGGACTGTGACAGCATTCGTTCAGATTAGGGAAGCGTGTCCATTCAATTACCTATAAAGGCAAACGCAATAACTTCACAAAGGTAATGCTCAGAAACAATGCTGCCACCTTCTGGGCAAAGTTTGTTACACTAGCACTGAAATTCTTGAGGAAAAAAAAAACATTTTCCTCATACAGAATGTAGCAGGTTATTTTTTTCACATTAAGCTAAAATGTTGTCACAATCCCAAATGTGCCCATGCCTGAACCTGATGGGAATCTTCACAATGGCTTCTTTAGCTGAGCTTGTGTCTTTCCTATATCAACTGCTTGTAACAATACACTACCTTCTAACTCCCTGTTACCCATGCTTGTCACCTTGGAAAGGTATAGACCTCCCTCACAAGATGATATGTTATCAATGCTGAAATTATGTGATTCCTAACATTATTATTCAGCCGTAATATAAAGGTCTGCTTGCACTTAATATTGTCATTGCACGTGTTATGTATTATGAGATACTTCTCATGATGTTCCCGAAACATCAGCAAGCCACTGCCTTCTTTATTATTTCTGATCCTCATTATTTTCTCCTGCCTTCAGTCCTTTGCAATGTTCCACATCCACACACAGACGCATTTCTCACACAATTGTTTTTATACATACTTTTTATCACACAGTCTGCGGTGTGACTTTACTAGAGCCTCAGATCTCAGCTACCATATTATCTAGAAATGCAAAGAGAGATCTATGCAGTGTTTCATTATAGAAAACGCAGCTAGGCCAGACCGGATCACACAAGTTTTAGATGTGCTTTACTTGTTGGGGTTCACATTGTGTTTATTCCTTGCAAACTAATTGGGATGCTTGCTACAGTATTTTCACATAAGTAAACTGAAAAACAAAAGAAAAATAATAAAATAATTTAACAACTAAATAAAATTTTAGATTTAAGTGGTCATTAGTGGACATTAGGCAGTTGTAACAAATGTAGCAATTCTTATTTGACACGTGCCATCGTGTACTTTACCTGCCTGCTACCGGCTTCTTGCTGTGTTTCTTTGCTACAATGTCCTCTATCATTTTAGAATAGGATCTTTTTTTTTTAATTGTCCTGCAAATGTTTTTTTCTTCTCTTTTTACATACCCACCCCCACCCATTAAATTTCAGCCTGTTAATGCATCAGATGACAACCATAATGTGATAGTTTGCTGTATGAAGCTCTGGATGCAGTGGTTGAATCCCGCTTCCTCACTGATCGTCATTTTGCTTTGATCCCAGAATGACATCTGAGTCTGCTCATCTCTCTCCTTCTGCTAGCTGCTGGGCATTCGTTGCTCTTGCATTCATCCCTCTTCCATTCTCCCGTTTGCCCGGTCTCGCTTCAACCGGCAGCCCCCTCTCTCTATCCCCTCTCTTCATGCTCTGCCCTTGTTCCCCCTCCCCATTTCCCTGTCAGTCTGCCTGATAGCTGGCGACGGCCATGTTGTATATCTCACACAGAATCGAACGCCATTACTATTTCAGCGCGTGGAGCCACCTACCCCCTCCCAGGATGGGGGTCCGGGACTTAACAATGCCCTGCCTCCTCCTGAGATGACAGACACCACCAACAGCCTGTGAGTTGGACACTTCTGGATTATTTTCACTTTACAGGAACAGGTTTGCTGAAGAAAGACATACCCTTGACTTGTTAATATGTGTTTGTGTGTGTGTCACAGGCCGGTGGAGGGAGGTGTCCCGGAAAGCCAGTCGTGGGTGACGGCTCGCGCTCAGGAAATGTCTCAGAAGGTTGGCAGCTGGAGCCCTGAGGGACACCCTGTGGATGGCCTGGGAAGCATGACCAACTCTCAGGTAAAAGCACACACACACACACACACACACACACACACACACACACACACACACACACACACACACTGGAAATGGCACAATAAGCTGGCCAGAGACCACACAGATAATAGTTTGTGCCGTGTTACTTGATGTAGCTCCCAATTGCAACTGAGGACAATTACGTGGTAAAATCTTCACTGTTCAAGTTTGTAATTCCGTATCCAGGCTCAGCAGTGACCTGCTCATTTGTAACACCTGATTTTTATAGAGGATTAGATCAAATCAGGGCAGCTGATAAGTTTATTTAGTTTTTTCCCAGTATGTTCATTGTTAGGAATACTCTCCCATTCTTATGGTGTCGTAAGTTCAGAGCTCAGACTGCATCACCGTTACTGCACTGTTGCCTTTATCATTTTACTGAAGTTGTTACACTTATTTCCTGCAGTTCCTCTTTTTTGGATTCTTCAGATATCACTAACATTGAACATTTCTTTGATTAGCTCCATCTCTCAAACCTGTCTCTACACACAAGTCTTTTTATTTTATTTTATTTCTTTAAAATCTCACTGAATTGTTCAGTGGCTATATATCTCTGCATCTCATTTGACTCAGACTGGTTCATGTCTCTGTTTTCATGCCGTTAAACATGTCTGCTTGTAGACCTCGTGCGGGGGGAGGGTGGGGGTCTGGCAGGTGCATGCATCTGTCAGCCCTCTTATTGTAGCCACCTGTCCACAATCAGCAGAGCTCTAAAGGAACGACTAAACTCAGCAGCCAGAGAGACAACCTGATATTCTTTGATTATCAGTTCAGATTTAACTAAAATGCGATTTACTCCAAACAAAATCGAATTTTGCAAATTTGCTACATAAAATTTGCATGTTTCTGATTAAAAAAAAACCCCCAACATACTGGATTTTTGATAACTGCAGTGCAGCTGACCCACCAGTGCAGTTTCAGTTTTACATAACCTCATTTAGTGCCCACAATGTACCAGGACCTGCACCTGGCTAACATTATCATCTGATCAGATTTCTTTTTTTCTTTCTTTTTTTCCCCTCATGCCTCTTTTTGGCTGCACGTGGTTTTTTCCTCCCAGAATCCACTCCTGCCGTGACTCACAACCTCCTCCATCTGGCATTGAGTGCCACTAAACAAAAAGGGAAACAACAAATCACCTTCTGCTCGCATTTGTTGCAACTCAAGTGACAGCAGCATATGCAAACACAAAATTGGATTTTGGTTGGAGTATTTTCTAAAGACCAAAACACACAATTTCCTTTTTTCTGTTTGATTTAAAAATGAAAACAACAATTAAAGACCAAATTATCCAACTGACATGATTTTCCTCTGGGACCTTCAGCTTTCTGCTCTCTTTGGATAACCTTTCCACCTTACCCCCCTCTCCTCCTCCCTATTAGTTTTCATGGCAGCCAATCACACCACCTCCTGCTCTCCTGCTCTGTTTACAGACGGTAGAGATGAGAGAGATGGGGCAGGATGGTTACTCGGATACTGAGCACTTTCCACCAATGGAAGGCCACGGCAGGGCCGCTTCCATGCCCCGCCTCCCAGGCGACAACCAAGTGAGCAGCATTCTCACCTTTCCACTGTCCGTTGTCCTCATTGTGTCCGCTCCTTATCTCCTTTTGTTTGGAACAATGACATTCACAAAGGTCTGACTCGTTGCTTATGGATTTCTTGCTGCGGCCTCTTGAATCCAGAGTGGAGAACGTTTGGGACGAGGTTGCGAACGACAAACTTTTACAATCACTGGTTACATTTTGCGCTGGGTGTCGTGGTTGCAACCATGATGTCCGCTAGCATATCATGACAGTATTTCAGGGTAAAACATGTAAATGTTTTGCTGACATGTTGACCTCCAGGCTTGGGTTCACAAGGACCACAGCAAGGCAAAGTCAGACCTTTCATTCCTTTCTTTTTCTTTTCTCCCGACTGTTTTGCTTTTCTCTTCCCCTTATCTCTCTTTCACCTGCATGGAGGTGTTTTCGGAAATGCGGTTGCCTTGTTTTCCATCCCACACCCTCATCCATGTTAAACTGTTTCATATCTCGGTGAGTGCTCTGGTTGTCATTCACACACGACACATTTATAAACCACACACAGACATGCGCAGTTCTCTACCCCCACACCCACCCCACATTATTTCTTCTTCTTTTGTCAGGACCGTGATTTATTTATCTTTTTTTTTCTCGATTTGCTAAACTGTCTCTTCCTTCCTAGCAGAGGTTTTCCAAGTGCCGAACCGGGCTTCCCCCCCTTTATTAGCAGGACTGGTTCTAGTATGATGTTGAGTGTTACAGATGTGTGCGTGTTTGTGTGTTCTGGAGCTTGTTTTTATATGTGTTTTTCGCTGATTATCATCATTGATGTTGTGACCGTGTTTCTGTTGATTGAGCACTTTCATGGTGATCTTGTCTGTATAACACTCTCGTGGCACCAATCACCCCCAGTATTTGTGGTAAGTGTATCTCTTCCACCCTCGCTGCTGCTTCGGTGTCTAATCGGACCTTCTTTCTCTGTCCCTCCTTTTCTCTTTCTCTCTCTTTCATCTCTCCACTCTGGCACCCCATCCTCTTTTTGGGTTGAACCTCAATTTAACGCTTTTAAACTTGTACTCCTCTTCACCCTTCCTCTTTGATCACTGCATATCACACCATCCCTGTCTCCCTTCCTTCTCTCCCTCTCCCCATCACTTCTCCTCCTTGTTTTGTGTTTGCGCCACATCCATACATTTGGTGTATTTGTGGCATTGTTTGTGTGTGTGTGTGTGTGTGTGTCTTCTCTGTGCTCATACAGCAGCGGAGGAAAGGGAAGCAACGTGGCAGTAACCTCAGTGTATGTACCCTGTCTTCTCTGTCTTCTCCCTCCTCCCCTTTCTCTTTATTCAAGTCCCCTTCTCAAACATGTCTTTGTGTTGTGTGTTTTTAAGCAGGGGTTTTCTTAAGATGTATTAAAGCAACCATTTTTAGCATGAACTCATATGCAAGTCCAGTTTCCAAACCAATCCTACTGACCCTTAACTACTTCACTCGTGCACTTAATGCAGAAAGTTTGGATTCGGGCTGAACTCTGCTTGTCCCTTCTCATCATTTACGGTCATATGACTGTCTCCGGGTCTTCCGTATCTCTGTCTCTCTTTACTCAGCTGCTGCTCCTGGTGCTTCGTTGTCTCATGTCCTCATGCCTGTGTGCTTATCTTTGTGTTGTTGCTGTTAACAGTCTCCATTATGAGTCTCCATTCACGACTACCTACCTGCATGCTAGAACTTAGATCTTTTTGTTTGAGTGAGTGTATGCTTGCGTGAATGTATGTGGTGCGTGGTTAGAGTGTCAGAAACAAGGAGGGATATGGACATACGTGCATATGAATGGATATGTTTATAGGATTCTCAGTGCTACTTCTGTGAGGCCAGTTAATCTGCCAACCCATCTTCTGTAATTTAATCTGTGACAATTCACAATGTCTACAAAACTTGCTCAGCTCAGCTGCAAAAAGGATTTAGCACTGAAGTAACCTGATATGATTTTCATGCCCAGGTCATCAACTTGTGGCACCATAGGCGCTGTCCTGCTGTCCTGTCCTGCCTCAGGTCACGAGGCATCGGCACTGCAGAGGAATGTCGTTAGCAGACTCAGGACATCCCCTATGTACATGCATGGTTGCAGGGAAGCACGCTGAGACAGAGCAGAAACAGAAGAGTTTTGTGCAGCCTGGAATGCGCCATGTTCGAGGGCATTAATGAGTGGTGAAAATGGAGAAGTGCTGAACTGACGCTTCTGTCCCCTTTTTTTCTTTAACATTACAAGTTACAGAAGCATGGAAGGCATGGTCGCTTGCCATCATCTCTTTCCCTGTGCTTCCTTTTGAATTTTTTTTTAATCTTCTGTATCAGGGGTCGGCATCTGAGCCCTGCACCAGGTTTGAATGTTAATACAACACTGCACTGGCCTTGCTTTAGCCATGCTTAGCTACTGAAATACATGGATGGATTGTTTACAAGCACTAAACTTGGCTAATGGGTTTTTTTGCCGACCCCTGCCTTATAAATTGTATGCAATGTCTCTGTTTATGAAGTAGCATGATTGGGGGTCTATGATTTGGTATAGGTTAAAGGAAGAAGATCCGTTGAGGGCTTTCATAGAAACAGACCCCAGTTAAACCCATATATACACCCCTATACATATCTGTTATCCCATTGTATAAATGGAACACCAACCTGACATTCAAAGGAAACACCTCTCCTTGCATTTCTCTCTCTCCCTCCATCCCTCGGTGGTTTCTTTCTCTTCCTCTCTTAGACCATCAATGACAGCAGTCCAATGAAACGCTCCGCCTCCTCCCTGGGCCACAGCAGGTCTGGGCGTGGTCACAGAGACAAAGGAGGGGCAGACGACTACAACATGGAGCATGCAATCCCAGAAGAGGGAAGAAGTTCCAGACACGGACACCGGCGAAAAGACCGGAGCCATCGGGCATCTGAGAGGTCCCTCTGTCGCTACACTGAGGCTGACACAGGTGGGTGAAACCACAAACACACACACATTTTTTGCATAATTGATCATTTGACAGGTACTGTAGAAGATATTTCCACTATCCAGAACTCATTTTCTCTAACCGTCTCACCTTCTGCAATAAATGAATCCAATTTTTGTACAACTGAACAAAAAGCACATAAAAGTCTTTTTGTTGTTGTTCCAAGGGCTGCTAGAATGTGTCGCTGGAGTGCAATAATAACGAACCCCTCTAAACACTCTGTCATCAGGCCTGGGCACAGACCTAAGCACAACCACTCAGTCTGGCGACCTCACGTCAAAAGACAAGGATCGAGACAGGGATCGCGGCCGTTCCAAAGACCGTAAGCACCACCACCATCATCACCATCACCACGGCTCTGTGGACAAGGAGCGCTATGTAGCAGAACGAGGGGGCGAGTACGTCCACAGGCACTCTCGCGACCGTGACCGGGAGCGAGAAAGGGACCGGCGCTGGTCGCGATCTCCCAGCGAGGGTCGCGATTGCGTGACACACAGACAGGTGGGCTCCTGGGGTATTGAGTGTACTTGATATCTAGGCTGGAAAAACACACCTGTTGGTTTTTGAGGAGAAAAATAATTAAATAAATATTGGTCAAACACATTTCAAGTGGTCTAATATTGGGCCTCTAATTTGATGGTAGTTAACTGGTGGACTATCAGCTAGAAAAACCCCAATAACCTTTTCTGGCTGTAACCAAACACAGTGCTGTATAGTCTACATAAGGTGTAACTTTTTGATGTAGTTATGTTAGAAATGTTCCTCTGATTGGAAACTGTATAAAAAAGATAGATGTAGCGTGACATCACCTGTTGGTTTGTGGACTACTGTTTTGAAAGCTTGTTTCAGTTTCTTGAATCACCGTATGGTGGCTTCACAATTACAGGCTAGCCGTACTTTAAAAAATACACAAGATATAAAATATAAACATAATCATATATTAAAATTAAAAATCATTCTGTAATAAATAAGAATTAAATATAACAATTAAGCCATAAACTCATTAGCAAAAAGTATTAAGTAATATGTGTCAAACAGAATCATTTTCTTGTTGAAAGCCAGAAGGGTTGCCCCCTGCTGGCCAATAGAGAGAATGCAAGTTTAATGCACCAGTCTCAGAACCTAGGTCCAACTTTTAATAAGGTCTTCTGCCCTCAGATTAGAGGCCATTGTTTAATTGTTGGCATTATGTTAATGACAGCAGATAGCATGTGTATCTTTATGTATATTTGTATATACATTTATGTTTCACTATATTCACATAAACATGCATTATTGTTGGTATAATAATGCAGAAATGAGTAAGAAGTGTTTGCTACCAAACCACCAACAACCAAACAAATATGCATAAAGAATGTATATTTGAGTACCTTATTGCTGTTCCCAGTTGCCCTGTCTAAATGTTCTGTCATGCCCTCCCCACTATGTTTCCTTATGACATTCTTTTCCAAGCTTATTGCTCACTATACTTTAGACCTAAATTTTCTTTGCTCATGAATTTTTGGTAATGCATATTATTTAGCTAAACACGCTGATTTTGTAATATATTTTAATAATTACTGCAGGAACAACAGCTTTCTTTAAAGGGGAGGAAGTGGATTTTCTTATTTGAATTTGTGTTATACATACATGCTACACAGCTTGCTCAAAATAATGCAAAACCAGACACATTTTATGTATGTTTAGTTACCATATTTACCCTGTACTGCATTTGTTATCCTGGAAATCAACCCTTTATCCTTCTTTTCTCCTGTCGTCTTTTGTTTTCTTTCCTCTGCGTAACATGTTGCTTTTTTATGTATGGTCCTGTTTGAAATCTCATCTTTTTTATCCACATCATCTGCTCTGCTCCTTTTTAATGCCTTTCATTTCTGCCACTCTTTTATGGATGGTGCTTTTATTCTTATTGTTGCTGTGGATCTTGCTCTGGTCCTTTTCTTGCTTTTCTATCTGGACTCTCTGTCTTGCGTTCTTTTCCTTCTCTCTCTGTTGGCTTCACGCTAAATCTTTACCATCCTCTACTTTATTCTACATGTTTTGTCGTTGAATTTGTGGTTCGTTTTTTTTATTTGCTTTATTTCACTTTTTGTGTAGGGCAGTAGTTCAGTCAGCGGAAGCCCTGTCCCCTCAACCTCGGGGACCAGTACACCGCGGCGGGGCCGTCGGCAGTTGCCTCAGACCCCGGCAACACCCCGGCCCCATGTTACTTACTCCCCTGTAGTCCGTAAGGCTATGCCCACCCCTCCTGGGGTGGCACAAGGCAGACCCTCAGCCCCAGCTCCTGCCCCTCGCCGCTTTTCTCCAGAACCTTCCCAAGGCCAGGGTCCTCCCCCCGCTGGCCTTCAGCTGGGCCACCATGGCACACCACGTCATCAGCCCCCACTGCGCTGGGGAGACACAGGTGGAGGAGGGGGCTCTATAGAAGGGGATGGATGTTTCTACAACCAGGACTACCAGGACTACGAGCCCCATCATGAACCACCTGCCTATGAGCCAAACCCCGTGCAGGGGGGCAACCCGCACCCTCATGCCAACCACCCACTGCCACTTCCCTCACAACCACAGCAGCATAACCCCCATCCCCTACCTCCCCCACAGCCACACCCAGTCAACAACCCCCATCCTCAGCCCAGCCGAACCTCGCCTAGAACTGTTCATCACGCGCCTCCGCCAACAACGGCTCTGACAGGGCCTGTGCAGGGCCAAGTTCAGTCTGCCGCCCAGCGCCGGCTACCCAACGGCTATCGTTCTTCATCACCTTCCACACATGTCCACGGACCCCCACACACTGGTCCCCACAAGGTCCCTCCTCCGGCTGGGCATCCAAGGGGTCCTCGCAAAGGCTTGCATGAACCCTACAGTGAAACGGAGGATGACGATTGGTGCTAGCCTCTGGGGAAGGGGGTGGGACTTAACAAGGAAAAAAAATTTGAAATACCGAAAGAAGATGAGCCAGAGCACTGACTGCCAAGGGAAAAAAATATAAACGTTTCTTTCTTGTCTGTTCGATTTGTTTTTCCCTCTCCTCCACTGCTGTCTAAGTGACGGTGAGCTACATGAAACAACCGGTGTCATGGGATGGAACAAGAATGCAGAGACAGAATCTGGAGATCCAAAAGCGATACGAGGAGGTAACGAAACACCTCCGCGTTCTGCTCGCGTCTTGTCGATCATTTCTTTTGATGCCAAATGAGACCAAACTGGAGGAGCGTCAGACACTAGTCTTTGTGTCTTAAATTATGCCTCTGGCCATGAGCTATAGCCACTTACAAGATGTCAAGAGTTGCGACTCGACAAAAGACACTTTACAGTCAGAGACAAAAATGAGCGACCTCTTTTTTTGTTGTTGTTGTCGTTTGTTTGTTTTCTTTGCTTCTCTGAGCTAACTTCTGTTAAGTTAGCTGCAAAAAGATTTCAAACCAACCCTCCCAGCCACCAGTTGAATATTGATGAGTTTTATCATCTGTGTTTTTAAATACAAATAAACCTGACACAGAGCCCTCCACCTGTAAGAGGTGAGGGAGGCTAAGTGGGTGGGAGAGTTGGGGAGTGTTGCACGGGGGTCGACGAGTCCCTCCGTGGACATCTGGAGGAGAGGATGGGTGCATCTGGAGAGATTGCACTCCTCCCAGAAACAATTTAACCAACCTCAACCTATGACCTATGAGAGGGAAAAAAATAGTGGAGGATGGGTTTCAGAAACAGAGAAACAAACTGTTTTCTGCAGTATTTCTTCTACTCCTGGAGCTGCTTCTTCTTCCTCCTTCTCTTCTACTTCTTCAAAACATTGAAGCTTGAATCTTCTGTTGCACCCCCACACAGCTTCGTTTTTTGTAGACTTGCAGAGTTGTACACTCTATGGAATCCTGCATGAATGATACAAAAGAATACTAATAATAGCAACACTGAGAATCTACTGTTTGCAGAGGGAAAATGTTCTTCAGTCCTGTTTTTTTGTTATGGTCTGCAGGGTTTCTCTCTCTTTTTTTTATTTATGATTAAAAGTGCTTTCTGTTTTTCTCTCTCTCTCCTCTGAATGATATTCCTCTCTCTGTACCTTCACATATGCTAAAAACACCAGTGGCCCGAAAGTTACATGGAGATTGGATATTTACTGTATGTATATCTAGAGGGAACAAAATGATAACTCTTCTGCTTGCTCGTCTACTGTCTATTCCGTGCCAAATGCCTGCCATTGATACAGCTGGAATTGTACTTATTTTTGTGGAAGTTACCTTTTTTTGTAATTAAGGCTAAAAAAAATGGTTTAATGGGACGCAGGGTATAAACATGGATATGGTGAATTATGTCTGACAAATCAGTAACATCTCAAAAGTCTTCCAGGGTGTGGGGTTAACACAGAGGCAGCAGAAAGAGACCAATAGAAATGTGCAGAAAGGAGAGAAACTCTTCATCTTTGTTTTCTTTGTTGCTGAACGTATTAAGGGATAAACTTATACCATCGTTTGTAAAGATCATGATGAGCTTGAGAATGAGGCGAGTTCTCCATATTTGGTCTTATATTTTCTTCTGTGTGCTTGTTTTTATTTTGATCTTTGAAGATTTGAAAATAATCCTTTTTCCAACCCTTGGGTGGCGCTGGAACACACCACTACACTGTGGGAGAATGAGTTATCAGGAGGACAGAGCTGTCCTCTTACTCTGAGTCTTCTTCAAAGTTAATAACTATTTGAAATTTGTACATCAAAATGCATTGAATTGCAGGTTTTACAATCCACTCGCCATCGCCTTTGACCTACAGATGGCGCTGTGTGACAAATAGTGTCCCGGTCTATTCACTATACTTATACAGTGAGTGCACCAAAAATGCAGTTTAGCTCATTCTCTCGCTAGTAGACCGCCTTATCTGTGTAAAAATCAGGTGTGTGAGTCGTATTGTAGCAGATGGGCTGGAGAAAGGATGCCTGGGCCTCGCTGTAGTCCTAAAAATCACCTGCGTTCTGTGTGTATCACTCTTGTATAAGTTTCAGTTCTCTCTGTGTGCCTCAAACTAACACTTTTCACTAACGCACACCACCGTCAGACCCAACATTACTGTTATTTTTTACTTTAAGTTCCTTTTTTTTTTCTCTCATTCTTTTACTTGACCCACATCTTACCTGGAGGCCTATCACATGTTGACCAGAGAATGCATTGAAAAAAAAAATAGAAAACACTGCCTATTAGTGTCTTTCCAACCTCAGTGGAATGTCACAAAAAATATTTCTCACATCACTACATGTAAAATTAGAAAGCACACTAAGGTATGTAGCTCCTGGTTGTGGTGTGTGTCAGTGGGTTTTTGCGTGTATGTATGCACACGGGTGGGTGTGTTTCAAATAAAATTATGTTTTGTTTTTCTGAATGCTTTTTTAAAAAATTCTCCAGAACTCTTCTGAAATCTTAAGACATTCAAATCAAATCATTGTAACGACCTTCAGCTCTGTGGTTGTGCGTGTGCGTGCGTGTGTGATGTCAGTAAAGCCCCTCCCACCTGCCCCCTCCACTGAATGGAACGTGCAAAGCCCCAAAATGTTCACCTTCCATCTTTGTGTATATGCTGCAGTAAAATCCACTAACACGCTGATTAACCACACAAAGTCTTCAAAAAGCAATGTAAAGTCGCTACTGGGGGAAAAAAATACATAAATTTAAAAAAAAAATGTTTTTTTTTCTTTTTGTTCGTTTTTCAAGTACAAAAGATTTTAAAAAAGGAAAAAATATCTAGTTCCAGAAATGCATGTGCTATGTGCATGCCACACCGTGGGTTAAAAAGTCATCTTCAGGACATAAAAGAAAAAGCAGATTAATTAATTCAGAGGAATTTTAAAAAAAAAAAAAGAAAAAAGTGATATATAAATAGATGTTTTTAAAAAAGCAATGTTTCCTTTTTTTCCTTCTATTTTTGAAAACAAAAAATGTTTTAAAAACTTAAAAAAAAATCTAAAGAGTAAAAACACAAAAAAGAGACTTTGGTGAGAGTCAAAGTCCTGTTTGTTTTTCTTCTGTTACATGGGGTTGAGGCACAGCACAACCATGTTCAGGACACCATGAAAAAAAAAAGAACTGTTTTTAATTTAACAGAAAAAATAAAAATATAAAGAAAGAAAAGAAAGTACAGTTCAGACGATGGTGTATTCTTCCTTATACTTTTGTGTTGGGGAGGGTCAAGGGATGGAGGAGCTCGCCAAAACTGTTGATGTACTTGTTAAAAACTGGCTGATGGTCCTTTGATCTCTCACTCACTCTCTATTTTCTCTCTCTCGCTCTCTCTCCCTCTATCTCTCTCTCTTTCTCTACCCTGTCTCTCTCACGCTCTTACCTGTCACACTCTCAGCCAGTCTCACCGCTATTTCTACCAGTGCATTTTGTAATTCCAAACAGAAACTCTTCCTAAAGAATAAAATCCAGAGAGAATGCATACTGCTTTGTGTCATTTCTTTTTTGTGCGCCAAGTCCTCTTCAGCTTTGAATTTGCATGTGTGTGTGTGTGTGTGTGTGTGTGTGTGTGTGTGTGTGTGTGTGTGTGTGTGTGTGCCCTAGGAAAGTGCATAGGTTTCTCAGTCCATTTCCTCCACCTGTCAGTCAGTCAAGAAAAATAAACGCTTGTAAGCATTACTCACAGAAAGTGAAGGCCACACATGAACTTTAAAACTGTACTTGGCCACATTACCTTTGTGTAGTATTATCACAAAAAAACAGCTAACAACTGGTTTATTTTTTATTACAAAAAGGATTTGCAGTCATGGTGAAAGTAAGCACATGTTTTATATATATATATATATATATATATATATATATATATATATATATATATATATATATATATATATATATATATATATACTTTTACTCTGCTTTTTATAATCACTTTAAAGAAATACACTCAATTAGGTACAGCACGTCAACCACGGATGATGGAAATATATCATCAGCCAGTCACATGGCAGTAACTCGGTGTAGGTATGCTGACGTGGTCAAGAAAACCTGCTGAAGTTCAAATTGAAAATCCAAATGGGGAAGAAAGGTGATTTAAGTGATCCTAAATCACCTGGTCCACAGTGATTTTATCACATAACCATCTTTAGGGTTTACAGAGAACATTATGGAGAAGAGAAAGTATCTGGTGAGCGACAGTTCTCTGAGTAAAAATGTTGATGTGAGAGGTCAGAGGAGAATAGCCAGACTGATTTGGGCTGATAGAAAAGTGAGAGTAACTCAAATTAGTATTCATTACAACCAAGCTATGCAAAAGAGTATCTCTAAATGCACAACATGTTGAACCTTGACGCAGATGGGCTACAGCAGCAGAAGATCACACCAGGTGCTACACCTGTCAGCTAAGAACAGGTAACTGAAGCTACAATTCGCACCACTCACAAACACTGGACAATGAGAGATTGAAAAAAACTGCTTGCTCTGATGTGTCTCGATTTCTGCTGCAGCATTAAGATTTAGGGCTGAGAATTTGGCCTAATCACCATGAAAACATGGCTCCACCCTGCTTCGTATTAACAGTTCAGGCTGGTGGTCATGGTGTAATGGTGTGGGGGATATTCCCTTGGCACACTTTGAGCCCCTTAGTACCAACTGACCATTGTTTAAACACCGCAGCCTACCTGTAGTATTGTTGGTGAGCATGTCCACCCCTTTATGACCACAGTGTATCCGTTTTCTCCTGGCTGCTTACAGCAGAGTAATGCACCATATCACAAAACTCAAATAATCACTTGGCCAGATTTCATCCCAATAGAGCACTTTTGGGTTGTGATGCAACAAGATATTCACATCATGGATGTGCAGCTAACAAATCTGCAGCAACTGCATGATGTAATCATGTCGATAAGGACCAAGATCTGTGAACAGCTCTTAAGGCAAAACCACTTTGTTAGCAATGTATACCTAATAAAATAGCAGGTAAATGTATTACCAAACGAAGAACTTTATGAAGGATTAGCAAAGAAAATGTGGGATAGTCACAGAATTGAAGGAAGTACAGGAATACTGGTAAAAAAGTCTCAGTCCACTGTTATAAATATCTATGACTAAACAAGCAAAAACAGACTTCATTAGGGTTGCCTGAGGGCCAGACATCATCTGGTGGACCCTGTACTCACTGCCCGGAACAAGGAGCCCAATTGGCATTTGTCAAAACTGGCAACCCAGCACATCATCCGTCATCTCATTTGGAGCATAGCCTACATTGTCAGGCATGCATAAAAGCAGGCAGGAGCCACATAAACTGCTAGCCCTAACCCATTTTGAGTTGCTGCAATGACATTTTGGCACAGTAGACTAGTCTGCAGCATTTTTCACTCTAATTTTCAGGGTGTCTTTTAATTCAGGATTCTGTAGGTTGGTAATTTTCATTTCCATTAATCACTTTGGTATCCTTTCATTCCTAAAACTTTACCCAGTCCATATCAGTATAGCTATCCAACAAAATATTTCCCATTGGGATCTGATGTGTTTTCAAAGTGTTCCTTTAAAGTTTTTTAACAGTGTATAACAAAAAGTGCCAAGAGAGGATATTTGGTACTATGAGGAATTGAAGTTTGTGAGGCTGGTGCAGTACATGTATGAGGACACTGAAACAGTGGTGACGTGTGCTGTAGGAATGACAGATGGGTTCAAGGTGGGGGTGGGATTACATCAGGGCTTGGCTGTGAGCCCCTTCTTGTTTGCAGTAGTGATGGGACACATTGATAGATGAGGTCAGGCAGGAGTCTCTATGGACTACAACCTTGACAGACTAGATTCTAATCAGTAGTGAGAGTAGGGAACAGGTGGAGGAAAGCCTGGACAGGTGGTGGAGGCATGCTTTGGAAAGAAAAGGAAAAAAAGTCAGTAGAGGTAAGATAGAGTACATGTGTGTAAATGAGAAGGAGACAGGTGAATATAAAAGGAGAAGAGGTAGTGAAGACAGATAAGTTTTAATACCTGGGGTCAGTCACCCGAAGCACAGACAGTGCACAAGAGAGGTGAAGAAGAGACTGCAGGCAGGGTGGGGTAGCTGGAGATGACTGTCAGGGCTGATTTATGACAGAAGGATAGCAGCAAAATAAAAAGGGTTTGCGATGGTTGTTGCGATGAGTTTGGAGATGGTAGTACTGTACTGTACTGTAGTACTGGGCGACCGGGGGGTTGGGAACCGCGTCTGTAACCGGAAGGTCGCCAGTTCGATCCCTGGGCTCTCTGTCCTGGTCGTTGTGTCCTTGGGCAAGACACTTTACCCTACCGCCTACTGGTGTTGGTCAGAGGGGCGGACGTCGCGATATGGCAGCCTCGCTTCTGTCAGTCTGCCCCAGGGCAGCTGTGGCTACAACTGTAGCTTACCTCCACCAGTGCATGAATGTGAGAGTGAATGAATAGTGGAATTGTAAAGCGCTTTGGGTGCCCAAAAAAGCACTATATAAATGCAATCCATTTACTGACAAAAAGAGAGGACCCTGATCTGGAGGTTGCAGAACTGATGATGCTACAATTTTCACCTTTACACTTTAATTACACATTTTGACTTTTATGAAGTAGTCAGAGAACAGAGAGATTGTCAGTGACCCTGCTATCTTTTTGGAGATTACTTTGGAAAAGTTGAGAAGCGCAGTAAAATGGCCAGCTCCTTTTAAAGTGCTCTCATGATTGCATGAAAATTGGATCAGGGTTGCTCACATACTAATGGATAAAATCCAGTTACTCTCTTTTTTTGTTGTTGTTTGTTTTCATTCTTTTTTTTCCCTCCTTCGAGAATTTAAGAAAACTGTGGTATTAAACCATATTTGCTTTTACCATCAGCAGCAACTGGTGTGAGCACAAACACCAGACACAGAAACCTTCCGGGCAGTGTAAGGGCAGTCAGCGGTCACGTGTTCAGGAACACGTGTTTTGTTGAAATTCACGCGATTCACTGGTGAAACGTAAAGACTTCAGATGCCTGTCAGCTACAATATTCTCAGTAATCATAATAATCACACCCAATATGATGATTTGCTCAGCATAAAAATGAATTGTAATTAAACAGGCCTCCTCCATTCTGCAACACTATGCTGAGGCTCGCTGACACATCTGCCTGAAAAGGCTCAGTCAGCTCATTTAGCTTCCTCATTTTAACACAGCAGTCAGATCTAATTTAGCTGAAGATGTTGGCAAAGCAACAAGTATTGAGTGCTGCAGGATGGTGGATAATCATGGAGAGGTTGGTCTCTGATGTGACAGTGATTTGACATATTTGGTGTCTTAAAATATAAGATTTACAAACCTTTAAATATCAGGGTTGATTAAGGGACAGAGTCATCTGAGTTGCTTTAATTGGTCTAATTTGAATTATTTTTCCCCTGTATTTTGTATTTCAGTTCTGAAGTATATAATAAATAAGTTCCTTTATGCTTCCCCACGAAGAAGACTTGAGTTTGTCAGCATGTAAATTCCAAATGAGCTTGTGTGTGGACAAAAAAAAAAAGTGTGAAGGTGGAGTAAAGAAGCAGTCTGCACTGGAAAAGCCACACACATGCACTTAAAAGTTTCATGTGTCTGATGTGTATTTTCACAGGCATGTAGAGACAGTTCCGGCCACTCCTCCCAGCCCCTCTGGGCCCTCCGGTTTCAGCCGGAAGACTAAGCTGCACAAGTTGAGGCCTCGTGGAGGCCACACAGGCACTTCCCCCACATTCCTGCTTCTATTTTCCAGGCTTAACCCCCTTCCCCCAACACAAAAACAGCGGCGGGTGAATCCCTGTTGTACTTGCTTCATGCTGTGACTTTTATACTGAGTTTTAAAAACATAACAAACTCACAAACTGCTTTCCGTAGAGCTAAACAATCATAAGCCTTTTAAACCTTTAAATACAGATTAAAAAATAATAATCTGGAAATGTCTGAAAAACAGGTCTAATTATTTGATTTGTTTAAATAATTATGAATTGCTGCAACACTCAAATAGTAGTAGAGCCAAGAGCTTTATCCACGTTTATAGGTTTAGAGCGTATGGAATGCATACGAATGTGAACAAAAAAACAGCAGTGTAGTTCTTGGATGGCAACAGGACCCCGATTGTTCTCCTTGTTTGGTCAGTCAAAAGGCTTGACAGCCTCCCCCTCCTCATTCTTTAGAGCCCCCCATCCTTGGAATTGTCCCAGCTTTTGTTCTGCAAATCAGCCTGGAGGTGGAAGAGGCATGGGGGAGGAAAACACCCAAGCCAGTTTCCTGTCAGACTGACAAACACACACCCACATCCAACTTTCACACGGTTTTCTTGCACCTCACAGCGCTCCACCCTGCCACCCATTACACACAACACCTTGGTCTCTCACTGTGCTATCTGTACGATACGATATGACAGATTATAAACAACACACGACTTCAGATTCATATTAGATACCAAAGGTTTAATAAATACTGAGGTAGATAAAGTCATTCAAGGTTTTACACCCCCCCTCCCCCGCAAAAAAAAAAAAAAAAAAAGAAAACTTCAGTAAAAATGTACATTTGCTGTTTTGACAGCATGGTCCCCAAACACACTTGTGTAAAATGTACATAGAGTCAATTCATACAGTCTAGTTTAAGGCGTAATGATAGTCCCGCCTCTGAACTGAACAGGTGAGGTCATAAATTAGATCACAAGTCACTGAGACCTCCACGGTGGGCATGCTCCGGGGCTTCCTTGCTCAGCCATGACTGGGACTCTTGGGTCATCCATCCAAAGCCAGTCCCTGGAGCAGGTATAGCCTGCAAAATGGACACGTCCAGACATCCAGGCCTTAAAAAGTTCACTGCCTTTAATTTCAGCAGGTCTTCAACACGCTGCGATGGCTGTCTGCACGGGAATGAGGGTTGGGGCTGTTCGCAGTTCACTACTGCACTTCACATAGTCACTCAAAACGGAGCTGACAATGAGCTGCTGATGACAGTTCACCTGCTCGAGTTTTGCTTTCTTGCAGGGCAGAAAGTCCGGTTCAGCAGCCGCTTTGCCCCGTCTTTTCCTGGAGTGCTGTGCGGGGCCGGACGGGCACACATTCTCCTTGTTTTCCGCGTGGTCGTGCGCGTGCGGCGCGCAGCGCAGCTCCGTGGATGAACCGGCGGTCCGTGACTCTTCAGCTGGGTGAGAAGCGGGACTCTGGAGCCCCTGAGCGGCAGCTGGCCTTGTGGTTATCACATTAACAGCCGGGTGTTGTGGTTCACATGTCGGGGCGGCACTTTGAGCTGTCGCCTGGGCCGCATGATAGATGTCCCGGGCAGATTTCATGACCAGAGTGAGCAGGAGACTCCGGTGAAGACGGAGACCCCCTCGCTGGGTGCGGGAGCTGTACAGTTTCCCCAAAGCCACGACCATGATCCTCTTGGCCTCTGCGCTGACCTCCATGTCACGGCTTGTTTTGAAACTACTCCCAGACAAACAGTCAAAAGGTTTGTATATCCCGTGTTTCCCCCTCTGACTTCACACAGACACGGACGAAGCGCGAGACAGCTATTTATCACCTCTTTGACGTCACTCAGTGCAGCGTCACACGACAGAGGCCCGCCCACCGGCCTCATACCCGGACTCCTGTTTCAAACAGCCGTGCACCAGCTGGTTAGACAACTGTAGCTATTTTAATCCTCGAAGATACACAACAAGCTCGACTATTTACTGTAAGCTGCAAAACACACACACAAAGCAGAAAATAACTCGCCCAGTGATAAAACTACTACAACAACGATAACTACTACTAATAATATCAACAGCGATGATTATTATGATAAACAATATCTAAAATTATTCAAAGTCAGCTTTATTGTATCTAGAAATAATGAAAAAATAATGTAAAACAGCGCGCTAAGTGAATATGAGCCATCAAAATATAAATATGAATTACACATGATATAAACCTATATACAGTTATTAGTGTCTATGAAGTGTCCAAGGTATATACATTATTGGAGATCTTTGTAGAGATATATAACACATAAGTGAATTAATGGAAAAGAGAATAAACAATAATTTCTTGAAAAGGCCCTTTTCTGACATCAGTTAGTACCAATTCATAAATAAATGTAAAAATTGGAGTCTGGCTGTGTTTTTTAAAAGAGTCAATAGTGTCTCTTTTAATGACACTGTTCATTTGCAACAATGCGGTTTTTTATAATAATAATAATAATAATAATAATAACAATAACAATTATTATTATTATTATTATTATTTCTCCCTAAGGAAATTATTTACCTGTGTTTTTGCACTCAACAAGCTTCTACTGCTTGCAGGCAATCTGTAGCAGATTTACTAAGAAGTGCATAAATTCAATCGTTTTTGTTTATTTGTTTTTTCAGTCACATTTTTACTCCAGAGACGAACTACCGGTACGTTTCACTTCTAGGGTTAAATCCAATCAGTCTGTGAGTTCTCCAATGACACCCATCCCCCCAGGGTGTTGCTTCCTCTTGCAGGAAGAAAGAAAAATGGGAGGTGGAGTGTGTTGCGCTCTCTCTCACACACACACACAAACGCACACACAGATGCCCATATTTAGTTCATCCGGCTGTAGTGGGCCAGCGCAAAGGAAAACCCATGACGTGAATGGGAGCCCTGCTTTCCTGAAGCCATTTAAAGTAACAACACCAGATTGCGTCAGTGCTTGCTGCTTCCTTCAGACCATATTTGGACAATGAAACTCACTCTGCTACATTATGGGGTGATCAGAAACCGCAGTGTGCCCGCTTCCCTTTTCAGTGCCAGAGCGGTCTACATGAAATATAACATAAATATGAGAAGTTTAAACCTTTAAAAATTACTGTATACTGTACCGGTTTAAAGATGTGCTACATAAGATTTTTGGGTCATGAAGGAAACGCGAAGACTTTGAATCTCGAGCTGCGTAATTCCTAAGCAATTTCTGGCATGCAGGTGATTGTTTTTTCTTGAGAATGCCTCTCACTAAAACATAAATTCTCGATAATGATAGGTCTGAACCCCTGAAACATGTTCTTACTTGGAAAAATAGACTTAGGCTGACACATTTTTGAAAGTTGACAACATTTTGGTTATTTCAGTTTAGTTTGAGGCCTTCAACAAAATCGTAAAAAAAGCTGAAGAGGCATTATTTATACACAGTGATTTATTTTTAGGAGATCAATTATAATTCCCCCAAAAGCTGTTTCACAGACACTTGTGGGACTTTCCCTTTATCTCTTTACAGAGTAAGCAAGTAAAAGTCCTGGAGATAATTGTCAAATGTTGCATTTGCATTAACTCTCAGTGTTAGTAAAACAGGTAATACATAGACTGAAAACCCTAAACAAATCTACCAAAGAGAAGCGAGAAAACTAGGAGAGGGAGAACGAGACAGAAAGTCCAGATTAGATGTAGACTTATCTGGACTAAACATCTACATCATCTAAAAGCTACACAAGTTTAAGAAAATCACCTACCAGATGAATTGTGAAGTGATTTGAGCTTTATTTTCTGCTCAGACTTTGAGCAGACTGTGTGTAAAAATGACTGCTCCTGCAATCATTTTTCTGTGCTCCCGCATTAAAGGTAGAGGTCAATTTTAACCTCGGTAAATTCAAAGTTGTTTCTGGTCCCCTGTGACAAAATGCTAGATAGCAGTTAAAGACTGCCCTCTCGTGGTTGTTTTATGGAAGTGACTCAAAATGTTGGCGTTTGCGGCCTATTAAAAAATTATAATATGTGCTCATAAAGAATTTACTCTCTAGGTCTGGAGATGGGGAAGAACTGATGAGAGTGCAGCATGGCCTTAGGGTGAAACTGAGGAAATCCAAAAACTCATACAAGAGGAATCTGGGGGCTTAAAACAAGGGATGTCTTGAGTGGAATAAATAAAATCACTGGGTTTAAGGTGACAGACAGCTAGAGGGCAGACTGGAGAGCATAGGTGGGTCACAATTACAACCTGAGTCTGAAGCAGGAGAAGATACTGGTGTTGTGGAAAAGCATCCATTCTGGTTCCTGTACTGAAGTTGACACCATCAGAGGTTAATAACTATTGAGTAATTGTGTTCAAACCACAGCTTCCTCACGGGAGATAAAAATACTAATCTCAGCCCACCAGAAATGAAAATATATCTTGTGCAGTTTGCATATCAACCAAAATTGAGGGTGGATGAAACAGTCACAGTAGTGCAAAAACTATTTTCCCATCTAGATAGTAATGGCTACACTGTGAGGATCACCTTCTTTGGTTCCTTAAATGCACCTAACACAATTCAGCTGCTACTAAGGCTACGTTCACACTGCAGGTCTTAATGCTCAATTCCGATTTTTTGATCAAATCCGATTTTTTTTGTCTGCTCGTTCACACTACAAATAAAATGCGACAGCAAACGCGCTCTAGTGTTACGGTTGGAAGGAGGACTCAAGCGCAGGACTCCGGTACTGATGCTTACAAGAAGAGTTTATTTACAAGTCACCAGGTGTATATACAAGAATGTGCAGGGGGGTGTTATATACAGCTGAGTGGGGGAAGAAGGGGTCTCCAGGGAAGTCCAAGGGAAAGCATACGTTCTTCAGAATATCCACTCACACGATCACAGGTTCACACTCCAACACTGCCACACGGGAAACACACGGGGAAAAATCCAAGAGGTTGCGTGGTAGACAACGATCCAGCGACGAACAGCAGTCACCTCCTGGCTTAAATGCTGCTCCCCTTAATGAGACACCTGGGTCTCATCTCCCGAGGGCGTGGGCCAAGGGCATGAACCCACAGTGAGTTCCGCCCCGGCGAGAGAGAAGAGGAAGAGAGACAGAGAGGGCTGATCAGCGTGCAGCTGATCCGCCTGGCCATGACAGTACCCCCCCCCCCCTGACGGGAGCCTCCCGGCGACCCCCAGGCTTGTCAGGGTGAGCCGCATGGAACGCCCGCACCATACCCCGATCCAAGAGGGCCGCCCGCGGGATCCAAGAACGCTCCTCCATCCCGTAGCCCTCCCAATCCACGAGATACTGCAGACCGCGCCCCCGGCGCCGGACATCCATGATCCGCGAAACGGTGAAAGCCGGGTGGCCATCAATGACCTGGGCGGGCGGAGGGGTCCGGAAGGAGGGCACAGAGGACTAGAGAGACACGGCTTCACTTGCGACACGTGGAAGGAGTTATGGATCCTCATATTCCGGGGCAGGCGAAGGCGGACAGAGACAGGGTTAATCACAGAGTCGACCTCAAAGGGACCGATGAAAGTGGGAGACAGTTTCTTGGACTCAGACCTGAGGGGGATGAATCTGGTAGACAGCCAAACCTTTTGTCCAGGTGTGTAGGTGGGAGCAGGGGTCCGGTGGCGATCCGCCAGGCGCTTATTGCGTTCCACCGTGCGGAGAAGGGAGGCCCGAGTCGCTCTCCAGGCGCGCCGACACCTCCAAAGATGCTGTTGGACAGAGGGAACAAAGTGCTCACCCTCGACGGCTGGGAAGAGTGGCGGTTGATAGCCCAAGGACGCCTCGAAAGGGGACACACCGGTGGCAGAGGAGGTAAGGCTGTTATGAGCATACTCAATCCATGACAGTTGCTCGCTCCAAGTTGACTGGTTAGTGGAGACCAGGCACCGGAGAGCTGCTTCGAGCTCCTGGTTGGCACGCTCCGTTTGGCCATTCGTCTGCGGGTGGAAACCAGAGGAGAGACTGACCTGAGCTCCGAGGGCACTGCAGAACTCCTTCCATACACGCGACGTGAACTGCGGTCCTCTGTCTGACACAATGTCCGTGGGGATGCCATGGAGGCGAAACACGTGGTCAGCTAGCAGCCGGGCGGTCTCTAGAGCAGTGGGGAGCTTAGGGAGGGCGACAAAATGAGCAGCTTTGGAGAAGCGGTCCACAATGGTGAGAATCACAGAGTTACCTGACGAGACGGGCAGACCAGTGATGAAGTCAACAGCGATGTGCGACCAAGGGCGGCTCGGAGTCGGCAGAGGGTAAAGGAGGCCAGAGGGTGGTTGATGGACGCTCTTGTTTTGAGCGCAGGTCGAGCATGCGGAAATATACTCGCGGACGTCTTTGGCAAGGGAAGGCCACCAGGCGAAACGTTGGAGGAAGGTAATAGTGCGGTGGACCCCCGGGTGGCAGGTGAATCTGGCAGTATGAGCCCAATGTAACACTCGTGACCTTACTGAGGAGGGGACGAAGAGCAACCCTGGAGGGCCCGTTCCGGGGTCCGGTTCTGTCCGCTGAGCCTCTCGAATAGCCGACTCGATCTCCCAGGTCAGGGCCCCGACTACACAGGTGGGCGGTAGAATGGGAGAGTCCCGAGTTGCGTCTTCGGAGGCGGCGAATTGGCGTGAGAGGGCGTCTGGCTTGACATTACGGGAACCGGGTCTGTAAGTGATCGTAAACTGGAATCTAGTGAAAAACAGGGCCCACCTGGCTTGCCTGGCGTTGAGGCGTTTTGCCGATCGAATGTACTCCAAGTTCTTGTGATCAGTCCAGACCACAAACGGCTGGGCAGC